TATTAATTCATTACTCTTGGAAATTAGAAAATATGTTATAAACTTACAAAATCATATATCATAAGATGTGACAGGGACACGAAAAAAAATGGACCCCTAATTTCTGGAATTACCCATGCTTAAATTTTGTAAAAAGTATGCCGGCAAAGTCTGCAAAAACATTTTTAAAAATGCCTTTCCGACTTCCCAAAGCTTGTTTTTCGCGTGGGGTTATGCACTGCGTGAAGACGTGTTTTGGACATGATTGATTTCTTTTTGGTTGCTGTGGAATGTGATATGGCAGGTATGAAACACCATAAGTCGATAGAGGTCACCGCACCGTAAAGGTCAACAGTCACGTTCCACCGGGGGCCGGGTGCTAGTAGCCTGGCGCATAATATGGACATGCTGCTGGGACGTTAACGTTGATGCTATTTCGAGGCCTGATGTATTTTCAAACAACGGTTTTACTTCGTCGATCATCATGGCAAAGCGGGCCATTGAAGAGGAATTTGAACGACTGTAAGTTAAAAACCAGAAGGCTTGGCTCTGAGCTGACCATACATGGAGGTACTCAGCGAATGATGTAGACTACTCCATAATAGACCTAGGTACTAGCGGGAGTCCGGCGAAACGGCACCTCTAAAATTGTATATCTGAAAGCGTGTGAAAGTGTTTGTTTTCAATCAGTGATTTCTGCCCTTTTTGTGCATCAAATTCTATTTTTTAAAAAGCAGTTGTGTTGTAAAAGAACTGAAATTTGTGTTGGTACCATGTATTATGTCTGTTTACGTCGAGTTTTGGGTGTAAAGTTTGATGAAAATAATGTCAGATCAGAGCCACTTACTGTACGTCAACAACTGTGTACGGCCATCTTTGTTATTGTCGTATGACATATCTCGTCTAAGCCTAATATCTCGCGAGTCTCAACCGGTTTTGGAACAATGATGCCATCATCTTTTAGAGCTTATAACACGCTTTCATTTGATGTACGACTCAAGGCATTTGACGAAAGCACCATTAAGACTTGTTTTGGCTTGTGAAGACTACAAAAAGGTAACAAAAAATGTGCATTTTTCTGTTGCAAATCCTCCCAAAGCACGTATAAGGAGTTAATGAAACACATATGAAATGGTGTTTATTTGGAAGCTTGGAATTTCAGGAAGAAAAGGAAGTTGGTTTTTTTGGGGTAAAAAATTGATGTTAAACTGGTGGCGAACAGCCCTTTTGTATTTGGGTGCTGTCGTGCACTGTGCACATATGGTGTATGTATGTGCATCAGATTGGTGCATGGTGTACGGGTAGCAAGATGCAAATAACAAGTGCATAAACCACACATGCTGTCTCAATCAAATGTTATCAAAAGATCCTGTCAAACACGAACAGACTTGAACTTATGACACCTGACAGACTTGGTCCCTTATTTTTATAGTTATTTATTGTTGACAGAATATCACATCAAAACTATGCNCATTAATTCATTACTCTTGGAAATTAGAAAATATGTTATAAACTTACAAAATCATATATCATAAGATGTGACAGGGACACGAAAAAAAATGGACCCCTAATTTCTGGAATTACCCATGCTTAAATTTTGTAAAAAGTGTGCCGGCAAAGTCCGCAAAAACATTTTAAAAATGGCCTTTCCAACTTCCCAAAGCTTGTTTTTCGCATGGGGTTATGCACTGCGTGAAGACGCGTTTTGGACATGATTGATTTCTTTTTGGCTGCTGTGGAATGTGATATGGCAGGTATGAAACACCATAAGTCGATAGAGGTCACCGTACCGTAAAGGTCAACAGTCACGTTCCACCGGGGGCCGGGTGCTAGCGCTGCTACCTGGCGTGTATGGACATGCTGCTGGGACGTTGATGCTATTTCGAGGCCTGATGTATTTTCAAACAACGGTTTTACTTCGTCGATCATCATGGCAAAGCGGGCCATTGAAGAGGAATTTGAACGACTGTAAGTTAAAAACCAGAAGGCTCGGCTCTCTGAGCTTACCATATATGTAGGTACTCAGCGAATGATGTAGACTACTCCATAGACCTCGGTACTAGCGGGAGTCCAGCGAAACGGCACCTCTAAAATTGTATATCTGAAAGCGTGTGAAAGTGTTTGTTTTCAATCAGTGATTTCTGCCCTTTTTGTGCATCAAATTCTATTTTTTAAAAAGCAGTCGTGTTGTACAAGAACTGAAATTTGTGTTGGTACCATGTATTGTGTCTGTTTACTTCGAGTTTTGGGTGTGAAGTTTGATGAAAATAATGTAAGATCGGAGCCACTTTCTGTACGTCAACAACTGTGTACGGCCATCTTTCTTTGTTGTCGTGTGACATAGTCTTGTTTAAGCATAATATCTCGCGAGTCTCAACCAGGTTTGTAACAAAGATGTCATCATCTTATAGAGCTTATAATACTCTTTCATTTGATGTACGAATCAAGGCATTGACCAAAGCACTGTCAAGCCTTGTTTTGGTTTGTGAAGACTACAAAAAGGTAACAAAAAATGTGCATTTTTGACTTGGTCCCTTATTTTTATAGTTATTTATTGATGACAGAATATCACATCAAAACTTTGCTTCAGTGATCTTTCACACTTCACTATAAATTTCAAGCCCAACTCAACTAACCTGTTACTGTATACATGAGCATGTATCCTGTGTTTATTATTGATAAAGTTCCCCATAATAAAAGATTTTGTTTACTTTACACATCCTCGGTGACTTAACTACACATCTTTGTCCAACTCTGGCATGTCTGGAAGTGGAATCGATGAGGAATAAGACTCCATGTGGTTCAAATACATTGATGAAAAGAAAACTTGTACCCACCCCAACAAATGACGGACTGATTACACCTATTTTTAATAACAAAAAAATTCATAACTTCACTATTGAGCCAAATTTTATACCATTCAATTTCTTTTGAAATTACCTTTCAAATGGTACTAAACTCGTGGGGGTCAAATAAAAATTCTGAAAAGTGCCAAACTCCCTACCTAGCTAGGACTGACCATGGAGTACTAGTAGGCCTACTAGTGCTCCACCTTTTTGGTGGTTCCATACGCTATGGCATTTTGAAAGCTGCCCAGTTGGAGTATGATGAATACCCCCAGAACTGTACTGTGGGATCCGACATCCACGTGGGAGTGGGGCAGACGTCGGATCCCACAGTTCCGGGGGTACCAGATGAAACCTCCGTTTGCGCTTTCTGAAGCAATTCTTCTCCAAAAGATCCTACAATAGCTATAGGCTATATTATTGGCAAAATGATGTTTTTCTACCATCCTAACCTCTCATCCTTCGACGATCCACACACATCTGCATGCTCCGTGGCCGTATTCGCGTAATGAACGTTAATGTTGCTTTGGATACCAGTCCCCATAATTCCCACTACTTTCGTTAAGATTATTTATAGAGATGTCTGGGAAATCTGTGGTCAGGGAACCACACTAATCACATAATTATCGGCTCGACCATTTGCAATAAATAAAATCCCCAAATTACATGGAAAAGTGACACTTTATTAGTCCCACAACTTCACAACTGTCCAAAATGTTATCACTCCCTGAAGTATATATTTCTCAACATTTTAAACGTTTGTAAACAGCTAGCTTGACAATGCAGTGTGTATAGCGCACCCTGACATTGAACAAATAACAAAACTGCCAAAATTAATTTGACAGAATTGTTTTTCACTTTAACATCAATTGTAATTTCTATCCTCACATTTTGTCAATTTCACCACGAAGTGTCATGTGGGATAGTTTTGGTGCACCTTGATGTGACGTACCATCCATAGACTTGGTGCAGCAACTATCCACGATACGTCACTTTGTGGTGCACCGGACGATTTGTTGGAAAACGCATTCAGTGGTGCCAGTAGCATACTAGCAGTAGTAATGAACGTCACACGACACTTTGGCCCGTAACCTGGTTTTTGCAAATTACATGTATATGTTAGGCCTTATCGTTTCCAAGCTAAGCACATGCCGGTCAGCAGCAGTTCAATTAAATTACAATGTACTTAGCCCAGGGTGTTTCCGGCCTTTTTTACAGCTACTCGGAGTTCATCGAAAACCCCGTTGCTCTCCCGCGTCTGAAGAAACGAGCCAGGAGATGTAGACAGTCAGTAGAGATACCTCGGCACCAGGTACCTGCCCCATTGAATACCAGCAATGCAGCCAATTTGATCTTTCTACCAGGACAGGCCAGTGAAGCTGGCACAGTCCCCACTGCTGGTTCATCTTCAGCCAGAGAAGAGATTGTGTCAGTCTCTACATCCTCAGAATCAGGCTTCAGTTGTCATCACGATGTCCGCACAAAGGGTGAGTGAAGCCAGTTAGGGCTGTGCTGAAAATCAGAATTCGAACATATGATAGATTGTCAAATATTTGAATATTATTTTCCAAATTTGAATATTTGAATGCAAAATTCATGAAAAGGAAGGTGAGAGTTTTTTGTTTTATATGAGAAAAAATGCAATATAGAGGCTTGTTTCAAGCAGATTCAATTGAAAGTGACAGAAATCTGACATTGATTCGAAAAGTATTATTTATTAAAAAATTTAAAAGGAATAGAAATTTTTCAACAGGACAAGTAGTATTGTTCATCTCTTAAATCTAGCTAAATTGTGGCTGGTGATTGTCCTAGACGTGAGAAGGTGTTATAGGGATTATAATGTTCAATTGTGTTCGTTATTGCAACTGATTTTGTATGTGGTTTGTTCAACAATCTGCTGGTCAGTACAACCGAAATTCGGACATTTGATCAAGTGGAAGGTCGATAATTCAAATAGTGAATTATTTGAATTGACTCAGCCCTAAAGCAAGTCCAAACCTTTGTCTAGAAAAAGTGCATGGTGCAGTCAAAAAATTGTCATTGTGCAGAGGGAGAAATCTATCATTGCTAAATTGTTGCATGCGATCAGAGTTATAGCATCAGTGTTGTAGTTGAGACCTCCGAAGACTATCACAAGACCAACACAATACCTCAAGTCTGAATTGAGCTCTGAAGCCATTGCAACAAAAGCATTCCTCCGTCATTTTTCACTGTTTGGTCTCATGTCTGATCTTGACTGCAGCATTACACAGCACTGCAACTCACAATGTCCAATTTTGTTCAAAGGGATAAGTGATTTAGCGTGTGACTGATGTCAATGTAAAGTACTTGGATGCGGTTGATATGAGTGAACTCCTTATACGTTGTGTCTCTTAAGGACTGAATCTAAAAATTTACTCTACAGCCTCCGACCTGTGGGGCGGGGGTGGCCCCAGCAGAAAGACATTAGATCTGTTGGTACTAAAATCTAATTTTGGAATTTTTACATGGTGGCATTTGCTCTTGTAACTACACCCCAGGTACACATCCCCACGAGCCAAACACTGTTGCTGAATCCACTGTCGGCAGCCTCAATGGAAAAGGCACTGACGCTCGCGAAGCCACAGCATGCGATGCAGTCCACCCATCCCAGCAACCTGTTCCATCCGGTGGCAACTTGCTCATTAACCTCATCAACACTAGTAGCACCAGGGACGGTGGCGGCGCTGCAACAGCTATGATGCAGCTAACAAAGGAGGACGACCAGGATGGCAATGACATCTTCATGCTGCACAAGCCAAGTCTCAACAGGTAGAGTTAAATCCCTGTGTCCTGCTCACCACAGTTACCACAAAACCCTAGGAATTTTGGACTTTAAATACTGTCCACGAAGTCCCAAAACGTAAGAGAGCATATAAAGAAGACTGACTTACATGTCGAACAACCGGTCCAACCACCCAAGTTAACAGGCTTTTTACCAAGTGCCTATCTCTGAAATATTTACGGATAACCTCAGTAAAATATCTTTTTTGATTAACAAAACCTTTGGGTCGCCTGTATGCCTAGAATTGTTGACGATCCCTTTTGTTTTGATCACTTAAGACGTTCACATATTTAAAGTCGTGCTATGCTGTTTCTACATTCCTAACATCTCGACAGTGTTGTAGGCCAACAAGACCAACATGAGATCTCCAGTCTAAATTCATGACAAGCCACTCAAACGAACTGCAACAAAAGTATTCTTTTGTCACTGTTCACCTTCTTGCTTGTGGCTAGTCTTGAGAGTGGTACATGTCTGGTCTCATGGTGTTTTCGACTATAACACTGCCTGTCGATTTCTTTTTCTTATCAATACCAAATTAACTCCCCTTGAATGTTCTCTTTAACCTCACAGAGTCCACGCTCACAGCACACAGAAGTCGCTCAACCTGGATGCCTTATGGGCGTTGTATGCCAAGACGTGGCTACTTCCCAAGAACCGTGCTGCAAGTCGGCGCCCACTCCCTGTGTTCTTACAAAGGTAAAGTTGGTTCAGTAAAAAAAAAAAAAACAGGACCGTCTTAGTGTGAACAGAAATGTAGGACTGTCCAACCTGAAGCCCACCAAATAAAGTTTACTTAAATTTCACCAGACTAGCTTGATGGCTGTCATCAGAACGTTTGTGTATGAAGGTAGCCAAATTGCCCTTTAGCTGTGGAAAAATCGGATCAAGGGGGTACAAATTATCATTTGACATTTTTGGCACAATACTAAATTCTCAATGTACATACACACTGCAAATGGGTGTCAATAATGGGGGATGTGTTGGACATTCCTCCCCCTGCCTCCTAGGGATAAAGTATCATTTGAACCCACCCCTCCAAAAAAAGAAAAAAAAATGGAGGCTTCCATCCGATTCCACTACTGATCATAGCTAATGTCTAATGCCTCCCAAATTAAAACTGTCATCAAAGAGTGCTCAAAAACTTGGCTGAAGCAGTAAGAAATTGCCTCAGATTTCATTGGAAAGCATCTTTTTTGAGGGGAGAGGGTTAAGTGGGCCCAGAATCCCTTGTCTCTAAGGATTTCACACTTCATGTCAATTTGTCTTCAAGTACCATGTCCCCCCACTTTTCAGAAGTAATTGACGCATTAATCACCGTATTTAAACCTATTCCCGTGGTCCATATTGGCAGTTTGCACCATGAAGTGATTGCAGGGTAGTGTTGATAATGTTGGCACACAACAAAGTGATGCACTGTGCATAAATGTTCTGTGCGTGAATTCTTGGGTTGCAAGTATACCTGATGTGTCACTTTATGATGCAGTCCATTGTCAAATTAAACTTCAAAGCTGAATATTGATTTCTGTATTTGCCATTCCCCTCCCCCCTTTCCCACTTTTTGTGAGGGGGGGATATGTCTCTCGGGGGATTGGGGAATCAAGAAAGTTCCCCAGCTGCACAAAAACTGTTCTCTAGCTTAAACCACATGCTGCCGGGGAGCCCAGTTTCAGGTACCTTGGGTTTGTACACGTGACCTGGGTGCCCAAAATCGGACAAAAGAGCTGGGCCTTGTAACAAAAGACCGTACTCGGAACAAAACACTGAGCTGCTGGGAATCGCCAACATTTTATCAGTTGTCAATAGCGGAGGAAATCCGTCATTGTTTTGAAAAATTATACCAATGTTTGTGGCATTCAGTGCGAGTGGATTACCACCGGGGACAAAAGCGCTCCAGCACTCCAGCGATGAGCGATACAATACCGCTTCAGGCTAATCTGGCCCTTAGTGAAACGACACCAGCAGCACACTGTGCCAGTTTCAGGAACAAAAAAAAATTATGTAACACCACACAATCTGGGCTCTTTTTACAAGGCGGCAGGCCCAACTGAAATACTCGGGCATCAATAGGTGTTGTCTGTCAGATTAGAGTAGCCACCAGACAGTCACTCGATGGGGTTCAGGCGTTCAGGAAAAAAAGACATGATTTTTTGAAGATTTTTGAAAACCGAAGATATTGAGAATCACCCTGTTTTAGACACTGCATTTCCAAAGGCACCCAGCAGCAAGTGGTTAATATTACATACAGTGTAACCATCACTCTAGCACAGAGAGTTGGAAGAGGTTCCTGCAAACTTTATTCATTCTCTGTAAGGATTCCATCTTTTCAACTGATGGATGTTACAGGAATCTGCGACGGGGCATTGTGTTCTTCAAAAAGTATCTCGGGCAACAAAAAGCTCTCCAGGATCTAGCACAGTCCAAGCAAACAAGGTTCCCTCAAGAGCCACAGGCAGCTGAAGAACATTCAAGAAGTCACTCCAGCAAACGAGGGATCATCAGAAAGGCCAAAGGTGAAGAAGTGAGCTGTGACGACAAAATCAAGAACAAACTCAAAATGGAAAGTCGGACCCGCGGTAGAGTTCAGGAAATGAAAGACAAGCAGCCAAAGCCGCACACCCTTGCTAGTAAGAAAGTAAACCAATCCAAGACGGATGCGATCCAAGATGCACCCAAGGGGAGTGGCCCAGAAGCAGTTGCGAAGGCAGCACTTCTGAAGTCTGAGAAACTTGCCACAAAGACAAAAACAGGACTTCCGAAAAATGGCGTCAAAGGCAAACCTGGGCCAGCCAGCCAGCAAACCTGGAAGGAAGCGGAGTTGTCGTCAAGGAAGCCATTACTGACGGCACCATCAAAGCAGGGGCGACAGGTGGCAGTCTGCCGACCAAACACCAAAGGGAAAGCCACCAAACAAGACACAGCCAGCAGCCCCAAGGTCAAGATGAAAGCCGTCAAGGAAGAGAATCCCAAACCAAAACCGGCCATTGCCAAGCCTGTGCAGTCAAAACCTCCACCTGTGTCGACAGCAGGGGTACAGGCTAGCAGCCATGCTGCCGAGGAGAGAGAGGGCATTAGTGGATTCATTGCTGGCATCAAGCCACTTTTTAGCAGCAAAACTGGACACTGTGGTGGCATCTGGAAGTCTATCGTCGATGAATGCTAAAACCTGATATTAGCCCAAACTCAGCAAAATTACTGGCTTTTTTTTCACAGGGCTACTTTGGGAAGATACAGATTCTGCAACCCCTACAGTCTTTAATACTTATGGTCATGCAGATTGAAGTAGAGAGGGTTAGGTTTCATGTTACTCTAACATCAAATAGCTACAGTGGGTCCCCTCAAAGTAATGTGCTTGTGTGACGAGACTCTTTTCAAAATACCAGACTTTCTACCCCACATTGAAAGATGTAGTGCCGCCTCATGAGATGGAATAAAAGAAGTTACAAAAAATCAATTCTAATACTGTTGCTAGACATTTGTAATGTACTGACTTGCATTAAATGAGGTTGTTAAACCCTCCTCTCCTCCGACATCACCTTCAGCGTGAAGATGGACGTTGTCTTGGTCATTCCACACCTCAGCAATTTTACTTTTTTCTCCTATGAATGAATTTGCTCCAGACGTGTATGCATGGGGGGGGGGTCTAACGGAGGCACGTGCCTCCTCATGGTTGTGTGCCTCCTGGGTGCCCTCAGGTTTGTCTGAGGCCGAGTAGGACCTTTTGTCCACTCTGAAATATACCTTGTGTCTACTCTGAAATACCACATTTGCTTTAGACTGGTCTCGCCATTCCAGTTAGGTATCTCAGAGTGTCAGGATGCTACTCTGCAGTAAAGTGTGGGGGGAGGTTGGCTTCCACACCGTCAGTTTGTTTCTGAGGAGTGCTTGCCTCCGCCCCCTCCCCCCTGAAAAGTTCTTGCGACACCCACAAATTATTTCAAGTCATACATCTGGAGTTTCAATTTAGGTAGCGATGTAACAACTTTGTCGTGACTCCTACCGGCTCAATTGTATAAATGAGCGTTGCACAAATATAGGACAAAATATAAACTGGAGAAAGGAATTGAGGGATTGTGTTTTAAGCCACATTCCTGGATACTTCTCCTCGATTCACTATTATATGTCAAGTGCTACCGAACTTAAAGCACAATTCATATTTCAGATTTTTACCAATTTCTGTTTACATTAAAGAGCTCCTCTAAGGAAAACATGTTTTCTTTTATTTGATCTGTTCAAATAGTGGTAACTACGAGAGCATCCAAATCGAAGGCAGTGTCATTTGTCTTCAGAGCACAACTGTAAAGCTAAAAAGGGCTTTTTTCTGTTCATGCCAAGATACGAATTCTGGATGCAGATTGCGTCATATCAAGAAAACGAGGGGAACCCTTGCCCTGTGTTCGTAGTGGATAAACCCTTGTGTAAGCCAAGCAATGGCTACATGCAATGTTTGGCATGCACAACTTGTTACAGTTGAGCTCTGAAGACAAATGACGCTGCGTTCGATTTGGATGCTTCCATATTTATTTGAACAGATAAAAATGAGAGAAAACACGCTTTCCTTAGAGGTCCTCTTTAATTTCTGTAGAGTTGATTCTCAGAATCTTTGGAACAGTATTCTAGCCAAGGGCAGTAAACCAGAATGAAAATTTTCGTCATGCTAGCATTTATCTAGGATACAAGTGTATATACACGGGGACCACGCTTTAAACCACCTAGAGATGCAATTTTGACGTCATCTCACCAAAAAAAAGCATTAAAACCGCTAGCAATTGCTTTACACACGCATGATAACATGTCAATGCAACTGCGGTTCCTAAAGGCAGGTGGATACATACACTGGAAACGTATGGAGCCACACGTACGATGACAGGTAGGCCTATTTGCAAACCCCCCCCCCATCACACACACGAACATAGCCATTCTCACTGTGGTATTGCTTAGCTGTGTCCCAGTATGTGTACGCTATGCACATTCATCAATACAAGCACTATCACTGAAGACAGACAATAATAGAGAAGCTTCTGTGGAGTGATGAGGCATGCACGTCGTAAATTCATTGAAAAATTCACGTGAAGCCGATACTTGCCTCAGTAGGAAGGGTATTTTAAAAAGAAGGTCCAACTGTTATCCACAGACCCCCCATAGCGTATATCTTGATACATGTACACGAATCACAATCGGGAAAAAAATTTCTTGGCCAAATATAATCTTTTGTGGTATTCATGTTTTATTTTTTCAACGAAAGGTGGTTTGTGGATGAACAGACCAACTGTAATCTTGTACACTATTTTGACAATATTCGCTTACTGTAATGCACTATTGAAATTGTCTAAAATCCTTATTATTACATCTGTTCCAAACTGGTAGAAACCCGATTCGATAAAATGCAATTTCTCGCAATAGATATTTCTAGGCAACGCCATTAAAAACTTAATATAAGACAATACATTCTAATAATATTGCTTACCGGTATATCAAAATATAAATAATCTCACTTGGTATCTAAATTCCTCATTCACAGAATAGCAACAAACGTCAACAGATGACAAAAAAACTTTGGCAGACATTTATATTAATGGAATGTTTTACATCACACATATTGTTTTGCAATATATTTGTCATTAAACATTTGACAACAGTCATTTTACAGTTTTTCCCCATGTATAATGTTGGAGAGTTTTTAATTAATACACAATCTAGTATATTATTACATCCCACGTATAACTTCGCTGTCGACTATAATGCAGCATAACTAACACGATCTGAATACCTTTTGACTCCATCTGTAACTACTTTTTTTGTTTTTTGTTTCGTCCGATGGGATTTTCCACAGCAATCGAAATGCCACACTTAACACCTAACACCCTTTAACACAATGACATCATTGGAAAGGCTAACAGGATGAGGAAACAGAGTTCTGTTGTGTTACCTGAAAACCTCTCTTATATTCCACCTTTCCTGAAAGACTTCACGGTGGTTACCGAAATAAATAACATATGCACCTCGTACAAAATGAATAGGACAAGTTTAACTGAAGTTGTGTTCTCTGAAACTCATTGAGCTCTGAAACTGCAAAATTAATGAAACAACTATCGCCCTTTGAAATAACCATTAGTTTCATCAAGTGTAGAACTAGATAAAAAAAATCGAAGCTAGTAAAGAACCAACACAATTTTGGAAGTATTTTTTTTTTAATTTACCGAACTCAATTCTACATTATCTGTGAAATTCTAATTCTTTAAGCAGCAATAACCATTTTTTGTATGAAAACTATCAACGAATTTTACGCGTCAGGTGCAGTGTTCTGGGGATATTTCATACTTATAGAGCGAGTTTCTAGTCCCTCATTGTTCATTAACACTCGACGTTGGACTTCCAAATGAGCGACTTCTCCGAGGCCGTTACTGTTCTTGGAATGATGCGGTAACCACGCGGCCGTTGAGCGGCATAGTGGGACGGTAGTTGTCGCTGAGATGCTCCTGGCAACCACACGCGGGCTGTTCGTTTTGTTTGTGAGACAAGAGATCTCGTAGTGACGCAATCTGCCGAATTATCAAGAAAGAAAGTACAGTTAATCGGCATTGATCCATAATTTGGAGCGGTATACTGCACATAGATTTGTTATCATGGGACAAGTTCGATCAAGGACCATTAGTTAACCAGTGGTTGATTCATGACGTACCTAGCGCATGTGCAGTGAAGTTAAAGTGCGAACGACCCCAGTCAACCGTTGTAAGGTCGTCAGGCCGACGGGGAGAAAAGGTGGCCGCAGGAAGGGCAAAATAGCAAAAATTACAGCGAAATAATGTCTTTCCGGCATTTTTCTTATAACGTGCCCTCTCTGCACTGTACTATTAAAATGGTTTATGGCAACCAACGACGCGAACAACCTCGGTAGGCTGGTCGCAAATAGTTGACTAGACTAATCCAACCACCGTCGACTAACGTGCGTTCGATCACAGATAGTCAAACTATGGTTAAGTATGGCCCTTGCTCGAACTGGCCTCAGGTTTTCATAGGCAGAGAGTATGCGGAGTTAAAATTGCAAGAGCAAGCGCAGGATGAAATGGATGCAAAATGGTCCAATAAGGATCTATACTGAATCCGTGAGAAAAACCATACCACGTGTATGTTAATTGGTCGTGATTTTGAGGTGGCTCTGCAGAGTTGGACCTAAGCTGACCTTTTTTATCGAGTACTTTTTCTAACCACAATTGTTGGCCGTTATTGCAATAACGAAACATTTAATAGTTCACAAACTATTTGAAAAACCAAACCATCAAATTAAGTATTAATAACCATATTGACCTTTTTATTGATCTATTGACCTCTTGCAAAGTCGAGTAGGAGGCTTTTGAAAACCATTATTGCGAAAACGAAACCTGTAATAGTTGCATATAGTGCACAAAAATTGAAAAGTCGAACCATTCAATTAACTATTGACAATCAAAGGAAGGTGTCTGCCTCCTAAATACCGTTACTATGTTTCCCAGGCAAATTTTAGAAAAAATGTCATATCGCAGTAAATAAACGTTACTGCAGTTGTATTTCTTTTGAATGTGGATGTCTGAGTACAGCATATTCAGTTTTTTGTAAATATTGGGCAGTCTTTTTGATTTAAAAACAATTTTGCTTTTGTTTCCTTGTGCAACTTGGCACATCTTTTCTTTTCTAAAAACTACTTTGATGTTAACGTTAATGCAAATCATCAGGAACTGCATGCCAAAAATGACCAAAGGGGGTTGTCTTAACATGTTTTTATTATCCATTCTATTAATTCATTCACTTTTCTGGTTTTCTTTCCCAGAAAAGCAACGTTCCTATTAAGTGCGAATATACCAAACAGAACTATGACAAAGAAACGAATTTGAACAGGGTAGCAAGTTGAAATTGTCTGTTGGCTAATTAATCCGAATTCTTGATCAACTTCTTGCCAACGGCTTCAAAGGAAATGGGTGGGGAAAAAATGAGCAATTTGAATTGGAATCAACTACAGTACTCAAAAGAATTAAAGGAACAAGAGAACAGAATGTTTTTGTCATGGTCTATATGGGCTATAAACACGAGGCATTCAAGTTATGTGACAACACCTGGATGATTTTCACATAACTCAATGCCTCTTGTTCTAACGGTAGCCGATATAGACCATGACAAAAACATTCTGCTCTCATGTTCCTTTGATTCTTTTGAGTAGTGTAATACTACTGATAAAATTCATTGATATTGAGCACTCTGCATCATTATTATTATCCCTGCACATCGGGCTTACAACAATTGAATATTCCTGAAACCATCTCAGCTCCCTGGGGAGTATACTAGTTGATGCTGCCCTATCAAGCACACACGGCTAATCCATTTCTGACACTGTGATGTGAAGCTACAAACTCTAACCGCTAGGCCACATGCCCCCCACAACTTATTGATGAATAAACGCTATAGACCTTTTTTCCTGTGATGTCACGATCGTGCTGGACCTCAGATGCGTTGTGATGGTAATGTGCATAGCGCTGCGATGGTAACCTACCTAGTCAAGATAAACTAGTCAAGCCTGCAGCGTTCGCACGTGCTGTTGCACGTGGTTGAAGCTGCCCGTAGGAATATATGCGATCCCCATAGCCATGGCGGTCCACACGTGGTGGTATTGTTGTACATTTAGCGCAATCTAGTCACGTGGGTGAAAAAGGTCTATAGCGAGATTGAATGGCGAATTTTGATGTTGGAATGCAAATATAAATTGGAGCATTCAATTTATAACAAATTTAAATGGACCTAGCGTTAAATTGAACGATCTCTGTGTATACGGAATTGGAAGACTGGTTGATGCCTTATATAAAATACAATTTTTCACATACAGAGGTAAAGTATGTCATTGAAGTGCCGATTCATGTTTGCCTCCTTACCTGGTGCGGCGATATCTCGACGGGTTCCCGGAAAATGATGAACCGTACACTCTCATGGCATGGCGGTGTCGTCAACGAACCCTCATACGTCCAGTAGTCCTTCTTATTTTCTGCAATGGGACCAAATAGCATACCCAGTTTAAGTTTTTTTTTTTCTGGATAACCTACATTAGATGGTTCGAGTTGCCCATATTTGGCACAATACATAGAACACTTCAATACATTAACCATACTGTTTTGTTAGAGTTTAATTCAATAAATATGAACGAATGAAAGGCCTGTTCAAATATTTCCAATGGAATAAAAGAAAACACCTGCCCTTACGGTGGTCTCTGCATGCACTTTTAACATGACAGTTAAGACGTTTTTGTGTACTCGGTCAAAACTTGTGGACATTGTGGTAAGCCAAGTACATGTAAATTTGGTAATCCTTTTGGAAACTGGTAACCCGTGTTATGGACGACGTGAAAGCGCGCTCTCCGTATTACCATTATTATTTATTGGGCCATTGTACAATACAGAGAACATTACAATATGACAGCAATCAACAAGAGCAATACACAGGGAAAGAGTGGGGATACAGGGGGGGGCTGGGTGGGTAGTGGGGAGGAAAGAGGTGTAGGGGGAGTGGGTGGGGAAAGGGGGGTCGGGGTGTGGGGTTGCGGGAGGAAAGGGGAAGGGGTAGTAATAAACCAAGCACAGTCCATCAGAGGGTGGCCAGGACGACCAAAAGTGACAGGCACTGTCATACGACGCACCTGGAAGCAGAACTGAAGGATCAAAACCCTCTTCAATGCAGCATTTATCGTCCTGAAATAAAACGAGAGTTAATCGGTTGATTGCAGTTGGTTAAATAGACCACGTGCAATGACTGCTTCGTCAAACGACTCTATCTGGGCCGACTGAGATTCCGTGGCGCGCTCACGGTTCCTTAAAGGGCACGGGTGATGAAGACAGATTTTGTGCAACTTTAATGTGTACCCTTCTTCAATGTACGAAACAATTTGACGTCCTTTAGGGGATAAGTATTCGGAAAAGTGCCCCTTTTGAAACATTCGAAATGGCCCGTGCTTTTTCGGACAATTTACAGAGGACGCAGTTTCTCTGACGTCAATAAGGGAAGACAGACCGTGTCCGAATTACTTGGCTGTGGCTTGAAATTACACGCGACTCTATGGGCAGTGGCTGCAGCCACAACCTTAGACACGTGCAAGCCGCAGCCAAGTATAATCTGGACACAACCACATCGTTCAGTTTAAAGGATTTTCTGCTCGAATTTCGCACCAGCAGTTGCTCGTTGAAGACATTTTCTGACAGAGGCTTGCCGTCGGCAGTATCGCTATGAATTCAGATACAAAAATTGCGAAGAAATGGAAATAAATAAAAGCAAAAAGTCAAAATTACAGCAGGCTTTTTGTGTACACATCAATGCAATATTAAGATTTTCTCTCTGGGATGACATCACAGTTGTGTTTATGGATATGGAAATATGCGTATTAAATATCAGTTGTTAGTCGAGCCCCATCACAAGACCATGCACAAGACCGGTCACAAGTAATAGGGCAAACAATGACAAACGAATGCTTTTGTTGCAGTTCATTTGAATAGGTCTTGAGTTGCACTTGTGTGGTCTTGTGAAGGTCTTAAGTGGTCTCAACAACAATGATATATATAACAATAGCATTGAAATCAAATAAGCACCATTATACCTTTTAAAACAGCAAAGCAAAAATGAAACGTTGAAAACGGGGTTATTTTAATCATACAAATGGGTTGGCAAGGACTGCAGTAAGAAAAACCGCATTGCTTATTAATACAGTCCGAGTAATATTATTGTAGCGTAGACTGGACCTGCGTCTTCATCTTTCTATATATCCAGAGCCTGCCTGCCAAGCATCGTCTGTACCTTCAGACGATTATACTATTGAAGTTGTTTTATTCGTCTGTAATCCGGTTTTTGGCTACCTGTGGGATTTTGACGTTCAATTCCACAGCGCGCGCACCGGTAGATGTCAAGATGACGGTGCACGTAAGAGGTCGCCCGGCGTAAACGCAACATTAATGATTCTCCCATCTTGGCAAACACAGGCCGCATCGTGCACACCTTATATTACCCCTGCAACGTTTTTTGTGCACGGGCACTGTACTCGGCACCCGGTTGTTAGCCTGGCATCACATATACTACGTGCCGATTTTGCTGATGTAGCAAGAGTGAGATAAATTGGGGCTTGAAGTGTCGCTGTTTGGTTCGAAAGTGTGATGTCACTTCAGGTTAAACCACGCCCACTCAAAAGTGATACACATAACCATGGCCGGGGAACCGGAAGTTAACGAGCAACGTGTTCATCCAATGGGAGCTTTTAATCGGTGTTGCGTATGTGTGACGAAGTCACTTGGTAATCCTTGATAGAGCGCGTTATCACTTGATAGTTGATTTTCGCTTCTGCAATCATAAAGAGATCACAGCACAAGGTTCCTGTTCTATTTCGTAGCTCTGTAATTTACGGAAGCGTACTGCATGGGGCCAACGTGCAAATATATATTTTTTCGACTACATGTAAACTATTAAACTCGCCGCGGCGGGTTAATATGTCGCCCTCATGCGCTTCCGTATGGTTATTCGGGACAAACTTCTTGGTTAATAAGTTACGGCTGTCGACGGTGACCTATTACTGGTTCATTTATCGTGCGTCAGGCTCAGGAGTCGGTGCTGGTAGGCTAGTTGCACACGCACTGCTTGATTTTGGAGAGAACAGACGCATATTGGTCTGCCGATGAGTGAATTCTACGGTGCAACAACGTCCGATTTTCATGTTGAATTGCGAGGGAGGGAGATAAGTTGTTAAACAGCGCAAGGTGATCGGCTAATGTCGCTCTTCACCCCGGGTTGCTGCCCAATAAATGACGAGCGCTGTTACGAACCATCAGTACAGAGATGGAGCTACAAGACAACTTGACGGGCTCCGCATGGCCAGTCCCTCCAGTGAAGGAGTGGACGGCGGTTCGAGTCCTCATCGTCACGCTCTACGTCCTCACATTTATCCTGATCATAGTGCTCAATCCACTATGCTTGGCCGTCATAAGGCGTGTGCCCAATTTCCAGCCGTCCACCAAAATCTTTATGATGTCTCTGACTGTCTCTGACTTTGGTATGGGCGCGTGTGTGCTCCTTCCGTACACGCTGTATGTGATTGTGGGTTATTGGGCCTTCGGTCCTTTCCTGTGCACCCTTTTCCGCATTGCGAAGTACTTCTTCTTTTGCCTGTGTTTCTTGTCGTTGTTTCTGCTCACCATAGATCGGTACATCGCCATAGCCTGGTGCCTGCATTATGAACGCCTGGTGACCGTGCGGCGATCAAAAATAACGGTTCTCTTGATTCTGTGCGCAGTGACACTCGTGTCTGTTTTGGGCAATGTTTTCAACACGCCCGAGCCCTGGGATTTAAAATGTGGCTCGGCCGACGAGCAAGCAGCTCTGACCAACGTGATCATTGGCCTGGCTCTTCTTGGGGTGCTAGCAACGGTCATTTTGTATGTGCACATCTTGGTCATCGCCCGCCGTCAGGCGCGCCGAATTGCCCGGGAAGCTCTCCCTGCACCGGTGGGGAACCCGCACCATGCACCGCAAAGGCACCGCCCTTCTACGAAGTCCTTCACCACCGTCGTCATCATAACGGCCGTTTTAGTGACGGGTTGGATTCCAACCATAGCATGTTTGTTTTTGGTGTACATGGGCGTTAAAGTTCCCGACTACGTCGATAACATTTTCTACACCCTTTTCTACACCTGTAATTGGGCAGACGCCGTCATCTTCTATTTGAAAAACAAGGATTTCCGAGAGACACTTCATAAAATGAAGACTGGCTGCTTCAGGACTCTTAGGCAAACACTTCCATAGCATCCCCTCCAAAATCTGAACCACAAAAGAGAGGAAGAGATCGCAATTGTTGTCCTTCTACTTTAGATTAGTTGGTACATTTACTGTCACTGCCTCGGGCCTCATTTAATGAACCGAGATGGGCGAGGATGTCAAATTATGTACTGCCCATTAAATCCATTCGAGCGACAATCATAACGGATATTAGTCATTAATGAGAGTTCATGTAATCCTTCGTTCTATGAAGCAGACGTTGCCTGCTCGACCTGCTCAAATTGGGTCTTGTAAGATCCGTCCAATATTGACGAAATTTCCTGTGATTAACTCTATGCAATCGGGAATGTGACAGCCCAGTTGGGGGGGGGATACGTGAGAAGGTCTAAAATATCCCGGATCTTCTGGGGTTACAATATAGAGGTAGATCATCAGATTGTTATCTAAAACAACCAACAGTGATTCGGATTGTTGAAAAGTCATCTAAATTATTGAAAAATGTTAATATTAGCAGGATAATTTCATCCTCTTATCCGTCCGCCAATGTTGTCTGAAACCAAACTAAATCTTAGTGATGATGTATTGTCGACTTGTCTTCTCACTACTTCTGATTGCATGGTGGTGATAATAAGCACTTTTTCCCATCCGTCCAAAAACTGCGGGTGGGGAAATACATCCCTTATGCCCTGGATTTACGCCCATGGGTCGGTGGGAACATGATTGGTCACGCAAGCGCGACCCTATACTGTCCCCACCAAAGGACCATCGCTTTACTTTGTAACGCCCGTTATCTTTTGTTCCCGCAATGAGGAGAGTATGGCGCGGATTGCAAGAACGCCGAATTAGCCGCATGCGGAAACCATTAGCATTTTTACCTAGGTAACAGACGCAATAAATCATTTCACTAATAAATTCATAGTTATACACGGATACGCACAAAATGGCCTTGCCGGCAAGAAGTGTGAGCGGGCCATGCAAACGTACAGGGGTGCGGTTTTGATATTTTCTCTCAGGTTTTCTGTCTTTGTTCAATTTGTCTTTCAGAAAATTACTTTATTATTACTAGTTTCTAATCGAAGCAGGATTTTTAGTGCCCTGTAAAAAGACTTTACAATCGTGATTTTTCCTGTGTGCACGAGATTGCCGTATCTGAGCCTGTCTCCTGTCACGTTTTTTAAAGCACAAACGATTTTAATGGGATTTTCTGAAGAAAAAAACTGAACAAGGACAGAAAACCTGAGAGAAAATGATAAAAATCGGACCCCTGTAGGTTTTCAACGGCCCGCTCACACTTCTTGCAGCCAAGGCCATTTGTGCGCATGCGTGCATAATTTTGTTTTTGTCACGCTTGCACACAGTGTCATTTTTCACTTTGATATGGTGTTCTTTAGCCACCAACGCGACGCTACGACGGCTCTGTCGCGTCGTGTCGTCGCATCGCCCCGTCTTGTCGTACCGTCGCGTCGCGTCGTCGACCCGTCGCGTCGTGCCGTCTACCTGAGGCGTCGTGGCCTTCAGCCGTCACATCGTGTCGTCGCGTCGTGCCGCCGCCCCTTGGCGTCGTACCGTCTGGTGGAAATAGGGGACGCCCTTGGAGACGGAGTTAAGTTCTCATTGATACCATTTTTCATGATCAAAACTTGTAGGCCCTATGCACGCACATTATTTTTTCCAGGACTTGTGACATACTGTGCGCCCTCTTTTGGCCTTAATAATCACCAGCCATTTTTAGAAACGGTAAGGCACGACGGCACAATACGACGGACGACACGAAGCGACGGCAAGACATCAGGACGCGACAGAACAAAGGCAGAACGCGACATCACGATGGCACGAGACGATGGCAAGACGGGACGGCACAACGCGACGGCATCAAGAAACAACACGACGCGGTGGCACGACGCAACGCCACGACGCGTTGCGTCTTGGGGTCGGGGCGACGGGACGACGCCACGCAATTTTGGCGGCTGTAGAAAACCATACTTTGACCCTTGATCTTTTCACATACTTGTTCGATCGATCCGCTATGCCTGACACTCATTTTACCTAGAAAATAATGTATTCGATTTTCCAGATGCGCTGTACTCCAGTTGGAAGAGGCAATGATTATTCTTTCTTTTTGTTAAGAATGACGGGCGACCTGCGACGGACAACGGACGACGGACGACGCGCAACAGACGACGCACGACGGCAGATATGGAATTCCATATTACACACAGTCTCTGTACGTGTGGCGATTATGTAATGGTACCGCAAACGATTCTGTGTGTGACCCGCGTTTGACCCCGGGCCACGGCGAATTACATCAATGTAGTCTGGAATATTATTGTGGTTGTTACGTTCCGGAGATTTCTTGTATAAGCTGACGATATTTTCAGTTATCTAATGTATAGTCTAATGTATAATTTGTATATCAAATAATACAAAATATAATGTATATCTAATGTATAATTTAAGATTAAATAATGCTAAAAAGTCTGTTTTAAGAAACTTATGTAATGAGAAGAAATTTCTAGAAGAATTGTAGACTATAAAATACGGGCTCTGGAAGCCAAGGACAGGGGCGAGAGACACACATACACAACTGAAGAGACTTTGGAAGGCAATTCTACTGTACGCGGACTGTGAGAAATTGTTGACTTCTGTACTATTTCAACCTATGGTGGCGAGTCCTATGTGGAGCGACACTAGTAAGAAAAGTTCATCAAGACCAAGTGAAGTGCAGAGCTGAATCTTATTCCGGAAGAGAGAGTCTATGAACTGAATCCAGTTCCAGTTTGCGGGATCATCAAGTTCCCGTAATTGCGACGGTCATCACGCCCTCGCTGTTTCGTCTCAAGCCCGATCATTTTATTCGACGAGGTCTTTCTCCCCGTAACAGCTCATTTTTGCACCGTCAAGGACTAAACTGTTTTTCGCCATCTGTGGAGTCCAGCATTTTTCACTATGGTGCCAGCCAAGCTCTCGCCTGTAAGGACATCTTGTTTGGATAGGGTTTGTCTACATTCTTTATCCTTGTCATTGTAAACTAGTTCCAATCAGCATCTTCTTTGTTAGCCTAATTTTTTACATGCTAAGAGTGACATTCTCCTTACTTGTTTATTTGTTCCTTATATCAGTGTGATCTTGTTTGATTTCTTGGTTGCATCGGAGAAAATTCAAGCTTTGGAATAATTACTATTCTTAAATAGTTTGGAGTTTTTGGGATCGTCAAACATGTATAGTGAAAAGGTCTATAGACCAGCTCACTAATAAATTGTAATTTATGTGCGCATGCGCATTAATGGTAAGTTGAGGCAGCAAGCTTGAGCGGCCCATTGAAAATGTACAACTTACAAGGACACAAATTTCAACGCAACTGTCTCTCAGCTTCTGCACTCCTTTTCACGTTCGTCTTCGGGAAAGTCACATGCTATTCAAATAAACTGCAACGAAGGTATTTCTTTTGTCTTTGTTTACCCTGCTGCTTGTGATTGATTGTGATGAATTAGCCAATGTGAATTGTCGTTTCTGCTAATTCTGACCACAAATTGTTTCTGGTAACCTTTGACCAGTGCGCTGCTCATAAATTCTCTATCCTCAGCTGAAGAAAATTATAAGTATTATTTGACAACACAATACAAATGACAGTATGATTTGAGCAGAGATTTTTTTCAAGGATTATACCAAAATTGTCACGTTACTTTGCACTTGATGTGGTTTAAGAGCGCCACCAACTTGGACCAGCCGGTATTCTCCTGGCCGACCTTGAGGAATGCCGTCAGCACGGCCAGACCCTTGTCCTTTGGTAGGGCGTCCCCTACCGACTGGAAGAGGTCAGTGTTCCAATGGACCAGGTGGAGCTGCAATGAAGAGAGAATCACGGTAAAATGTAAAGATTTGGGGAATCAGGTCACAGGGTCAATGGGAAGAAGTGACGACTTTATTATGCCCTCCGCAGAGGCGCTCGACGACTATGAAACGAAGACGCTGTGTACTATCACCATGTTACAATAGCACACGTTGTATTTCTACTTAAGTTGCACGGATTGACCTTCAAGAGTAGAACCGTTTTCCAAGTAATGAGACTCACTTAAGGAATGACTAGTTGAACCACAAGGCCCTTGGGGAGGAAAGCAGGGCTGGACCGGATGCGCAATGAGGCAGCCCACCGAAAAGGAAACCAGGAAAAGTCAATGTTCACTAATTTGACTAACCCTACCCTCAAATCCAAATGAACCAAACATATTCATGCACGCTGTATTAATATTAAAAGACTAGTAGCCAATACTCATTAAGGCAAGGAAACTTGTAGGATGGATGAAAAATGGAATGTCCAGCAAATGTATAAAATCCCTATGAGCTCTGGCAATCGGGCAGAGAGCCGCACATCTAGCTAGCCGAATAAACCACATCAACTACAGTACAATTTTGTCCCAAGTCATCCTCTTGTGTCAATCCATACAGCCTGTCGGGTTATAGTGCATTCAGATGTAAATAAATACTTGTGCAAACTGTGCGTCAAGGCACGTGTACACCTTGCACGATACTGGAAATCTCGGGACAGACCCTGCATCGTCTCGTACTCAGTTTGATTCAAGTAAAAATTCACGTGAAAATCACGACAAGAACGCTTTCCTGTTGAAAGGGAAAACGTGTAATGGATTCTTCTTAGACACAGTTTGTCAGCAACTTTATATTCTTCTTCAATGTGTGAAAACTGTTTTATATCCCTTTCTGCATCCAAACCAATGTTGGCAGTCCTTCCTGGGATGACATCGCAGTTTTGCTCATCAATATGGAAATACCATGAACATAAAAAAAGAGGCCAGCCGTACCCTTTGAAACACCGAAGCAAAATTGAAAACGAGGTCAAACTGAGACAAAAAGGTTTGTACTAATAAACCTCGACTACGACTACCTTTAAATAAGCCTTGCTCAGCAACAACGTGACCCGAACCTTTGTTAATCTGTTATTGGGCTTAGCGCATGCAAGCTCGACCCTTTAGATCAACGATGGACAGACGCTCCAAAGCGATGACTCCTTTCCTATAAGCAATCTTAAAACAATACACTCATCTACCGCAACTTTGCCAAAAACTTTATATTGTTTATGAAAAAAAACCCACAGTATTAATATCGTTTCATATCTTGTATCTCTCGCCCAAAAGATATCACAGGGTATACTTTTTAGTTTTAAGTTACACTCTTGTTATAGTCTGGCGCTGGTTCTTAAGTTCACCAAAAATTCAGATATACGCAAATCACAATCGCTTCCTACAAAGATTCCATAAAAACACCTATCCCATTACCTCGGCATCATAGGGTCTCCCGTCCACTGTGTGTTCCGAGCCTTGTCCGTCATTGCTACCCCAATGACAATGAAACTGTGCCAGCCGGTAGTTGTGCGACAGTGGTCCTCCGCTCAAGTCTTATAATGACAGAACAAAAATAAAGAAAACTTAAATTATGTTCTCAACCTAAGTTACGGTATAATTTTAATTCAAACGTTTACGAGTCATTTTTTTGTTTCCAGGCACACAGATATAGCCCGGGACGAATAGCACGATCGTGAAATTCGCTTACGATATTGCTAAAAATCATGGTATTCCGAAAACAGAAACAATACGTTGTTGTGAAGGAAATTCAAAACATCGAGAACAAATTTAGAGATGTGAAATATAAAACGATTTTTTTTTACACTATATCGCTTCAAGTTTGGGGTCATCGAAGTATAACCACTCAACCTTCGCTCAAGATGGCGCGCCCCATCAGCGTGCATACAACGAAACCAAAACGGCTGGATATTTTTGTGCTCAAAGGATCACTGGCACAAAATTCGGTACAAATACAAAGGGTAAGTTCGATCATCGACAAATTGTTAACCACTTGTCGATTTTGCCTGGTGCCTGGTATATATTTCATGCATAAGTTACCAGTAAAAATCGACCACTGGTTGGCATTTTGTCGCTGATCGAAATTACAGTTTGCAATCATTTTCCCAACGAGCATAATTTGTGGGCTGAAGTATGGGCAGATTTGAATTGAATACCCCTGACAAAACCGGTTATAAACGAAACTATGATCCCACATGATATGACTTGTAACAGAAATGATATGACAGAGATGATTATACCAAAAACTTCAACATCCTTACTGGTATCGCTAGATTGGGCGTTCACTTGAAATGTGTGGCCGTTGTTGATGACCTCAGTACATGTACTTCTAGCGGAGCTATAGTTGATGTTGAGGGGACCCAGAGACGAGTCCACCTTCGCGTCTTTCGTCACGATGTCGATAGGTGATTGTCGGTTCCCGTTAGCATCAGGGAAATCATCACACCAGTGCGCCGGTCCTACAACAACAATACCACAACCGCTAATAAGTGTCGGGCTTCGCTTACGCCCTTTTCTTTCTCGAAATGATTCAATTTACTTGCAGAAATTGTTTCGAACACGACGAAAAATGCACGCATTTGTCATTGCTATTTTCTTCTTGCATAAGGCCAGTTTTAAATTGTACACAGTTTGTAAACTCAGTTCCCCATTATCAAACCACTTGATTTCGGACTTACAACTGAAAATACAAACAAAACTTGACTTAATTGTGAAAGATATTCTCGTGGAACGCCTGTGGATGTACATGTATAACGAGCAGTGATGGTACGTCCTAGTTCCAACACCAGTTGCCGATCAGGCGTGACTTACTGGAGGTTCACCATACGAGGGCAATCTCCCCATCCCCAGCCACAGTCTTGGTTAATTCGCCAGGTCTGATGTGAGTAGTACCAACATTTCTGACCCTATTCGTATTCATCCTATACAAAAGGTCAACCTGATGTGCCAGAATGTTTACCCTTCCTCGTTCCTATTTCGTTTCAAAACATACAAAGGGTCAACCTGTACCATAATTTTCTACCGATACATCCACACAAAAGGTCAACTTGTGCCAGACTTTTTACCCATTCCTTTATTCTTAGTTCTTTCTAACCGTACACGAGGTCACACTGCTTGACGTTCGGACCCTATGCTATTCCTATTCATCCCTTACAAAAGGTCAGCCTGTGCTGGAATTTTAAACCCATTTTCATTCCTATTCATATCAAATGATAATAATTATTATGTTAATGCATATTTATGTGACCTTTTCCTATTTCTTTAGAAAAGGCCAAAGTGTGCCAGACAGCCCCCCAACTACTTATGTGCAAGCCAACCGAATGCAACAGTGATTATGGGACACGAACAACTCCAGGCACATTTGCAATTCAGTTATTTTATACTGTAACCCTTGGAATGACACCTTTGTATTGGCTAGCATTATTTTCAATTTTTGCTCAGTTATTTTAATTTGCATTTTGGACCTTGTGTCGTAATGGTGCATTGATCTGTGGATTAAAACTGCTTGAATTTTATGTTTCTGTGTCTCACATGTCAATTTCTTTGGCATTTCATTACTGAGTAAGAAATAGCTAGGTAATAATCTTTTCTCAGGAATGTTTTCAAAGATCAGAAATGGGGTTTATAATTTGAACAAGAAAACATAAACCGAGCCGTGTCTTCCCCCGATTTACATCACAGCAACATTGTCATCACTTGTCTGGAAAAGCTCAGACAATTTCCTAATTTATTTTTGAAGTGCATTTTTCAATACACTGAACTTCAAAAGGATGTCAAACATTTTTCTATAGATCAGGGGTGTGAGTAGCCACGTAGAATTAAAGCTAAAAACAGCTAACACACAGATAAAATGTCAAAAAGTTCCCATACTTTTGTACAGACCAGGTGTACAAACAAGCTGATAATCAGGGTCAACATCTAAGCCAAAAAGTCTGAAATCATATAGATTGAAGTAGTGTATAAAAAAAGCGAGTCGACAAAAATGCGTTGTATAACTATCCTTTAAGTACGGAGCTCTGGAAGTGCCATCCGACTCGTTGAGATCCTGCAATAATATTTCTGGGGATGTCGACATCCTGAAATAATTTTTCACGGGATGATGCCAACACGAGAAAAAATATCACGGAATGACGACATCCTAAAAGTTGGAAGATGACATCCAAAAATAGGGCCTAGATTAGCACGGAATGACGACATAACGCACAGGTGACCTGAAGGGGTTTTGTCTTGTAAAGCATTGTCATTGTAGGATGTGGTCATCTCATGATATATTATCTCAGGATGTTGTCATCTCCATTCGAGGATGTCTTCATCCCGCGATAAAATATGACAGGATCTCAACAAGTCGGATGGTAATTCCTGAGCTCTGTCCGTAAGCACATAATTCCAAGATAGTCTCGACTTTATTTCAGTTTGTCATCAAATTGGCCTCGATGGAGCATCGAAACCATCCCGTTAATGCACCAATTACTGTCAAAACAGCTACAGTGTTGGTTACTGCCAACTAACCGTTTATTATCCAATCGTGAATACCCTATCAATGATGCCCAAAGTCCATTATAGTTTGGTCTTTACTCTTCACTTCACTTAATGTACCAAACTCGTTGGGATAAATGCTCCTCTAAAAGTACATTTGACAAGTGTCAGTATTGTTAGATAATATCGACAGGATTGACGTACTGTTTGCCTTTCCAAGCATCAATCACGCGAGATGTCGGCAAAACTCATGATGGACGTTTGAGCTGAGAGTGTAACACAGCTAAACGAGTCTATTGGCAATGTCCAAACAGCCGCTGTTCTCCGTGGCTTCCATACTATCCGTAGGCTCAGGTATTTCCAGCCGCAACCACAATTTGCAGTCATGGTATTTCTGATTGCTTTGTAGAAAGGGCACGCAGTTACATGTATATCAAGGAGGAAGGCTCCTTCCTCCATGTATCAAGCCAACTTTCAATACAAAATTGAGAACTTCATCAACACTGAAACAAAATCCTCTAATACAACAATCTCAGTATCCATTTCGCAGTTTATGTTGATAAAACAACTTAACACAAACAGTTTCAACTTCACGCAAGAATGGTCTTCACGACGAGAGAGTGTTTTCTGTCGGCACTGCTAAAGCCACGGGCACACTATCAGAGATATTTGTTTCTGTCACATCCTGGACAACCGTAGCATTGTGCTGATCCGACTAGGAGTAGCACAGTCAGATTTAACACTGTCTTTGACAACTATTTTCAAAATGGTTAGTTAGTAGTAAAGTCGCCGCTAGAAATAAACGTGTTTCGTCCTCGCCTGTAGAAAATGTACATATACGGTGTCACAAAAAGAGATGTGGAATTTATTTCTTTATTTATTATGGTTTATTTAAATTTGAATCGCGGTGGCAAAAGGCCCAAAACAATTCAAATTTACATTACGATTGACAATTATATCAATTAAACTTTACATTACAACATTACTTAAAAAAATACAGATATAAAAATAAGAATATAAAGGCAAGACGAAGAGGAAGAGGTCAATAAGATGTAAATCCATTGCACCGTTTTATGCAAATTTACGTGTAGTTCGCTGCACATTTTCTAATGTTCGGTTTTCAAATTTTGCGAGAAAACGTTTGCGAGTATAAGGTGAAAATGGGATTATTCAGTGGTTTTGTGCTCGTTGGAAAGAATTCACGAGGTTTGGCACTTTTCTAAGCAATTCATACCGCATTTGCCTCAGTCTTCGAGATGTTTTGTTTTAAAGGAGAAATTATCAGAGAACCTTTGTGCATCCATGCATTTCCCACAACCTCCATTGAAAACACAGTTTTACTGACAAATGCTTTGAATTTCACATCCGCTATCATTTCTTCCCTCTTGAACCTGGCTTCAAAAAAAATTTAAAAAATAATAATTCAAAGGTGAACAAACCAGTAGCGAAGATCATCTTCAAATCAACGGAGCATCGTGCTTCGGGGTGTCACTGTTACATTTCCCGTTATGTGCTATCATAACGAAACCATGAAAACATTATGTGAACTACTGAGACATGAAGCACTCAAGACTCCGTATAGTCAATAGACTATATTCATGGGGCCGACCATACTGAATTTAAAAGCGAAGTTAACTCTTTATTTTTGAATGTTGAGAGTATCAGTGAAGGCAATAAAATGAACTTTCATGACAAATTTGCATCTGCACTCTGATGAATAATTTCAAATTCATGATTGAACACACAAAATTATACCTAACCAGATTCTGAAAATTATTAAAAGGGAGGCTTGGAACGCACGAAATAATAAAACAGTCTGGTGCCATCCTAATCTACTCCTCATGAATGAGGCATGATGCATATTTAGTAGAGATGCGGTTTTATTAGCAGATAATCAGGCATAAACGTAAAATCCTTCGCATAATATTGGGAAATTCACTAACGGCCGACAAATTAACTTACAAATTTACCCTAATATCTGTTCGTGAAGATACGGAAACCAAGTGTTTTCAGATTTTTTCGGTAAGGAAAAAAGTATTAAATACCTTCTACAACTGAAAAAATCATGCAAAGTAATCATCGGCACTATAATACCACGGAATTCGGACGAAGTCATTCCATCAGTCTTTTGCATGAAGGCCCGGTTGCAAAGAGCAAAAAAGAGTACCTTTTAGCTAATTCAATAAAAAAAAATATCGCAAGGTTCAATTTGACCGTATAGAATTCAGACAGAAATCTTCTTTCCAACCTTTTTCTACTTAGTATATTGTGTTGTTGAATACAATAATGTAGGAATGCTTTACCATGACTATCTTACTTGTGTAAAAGTGGTATGCGTAGGAGAAAATTCCTTTTGTCGCTCAAAAAAGTAAATCAGCCACGCCGTGTCAATAAAAATTAAAGAAAGAAAAAGATCTTTCGTATTTTTGTTGCCATTGAAAAAATCCCTCCTATTCTTACCCTCAAGGGCAAAATGATTCTCCTTAATAATTCACTGTTGGCACGCAATATCATTCATATTTACCAAGGTCATTCTACGCGTATAGCGAGGTTGCCGAGTGCTTTGGGGAAACTGATCAATGTGAAGCGGCAATTCGATGATGCACATTCACAACGACCGATAAGTGACTGATAAAATAATACGGGAGCTATTATCTTTAAGCCTGACTGTGTTTCATGACGACACAGAAGTTTTGAGGGGACAAAAGACAGAAGCAATAACATAGGATCAGGAGTTCAAGAATGTGATCAGATTAAATCTGCCAATCAACCATGGCTCTCGTATATGATTTGAAATTCATAGTCACATTTTCTCTTCGATCAATTTGCACAAATAGGGCAAATTCATAAATGTATCTAAAATTCAAGGGCGTGTATCACGCGGATGGATACACTTCCCCCTTTGTGACCAAAGGGCATGAATTATCATTTATTCCCTATTTTTTTCGTACCAGGATAAAACGAAGGCAGACGGGGCATCACCTAGACGGTCAATTTCATATGATGTTCTCATCAGAACTGCAGCTGGAAAGAGGGAGACAGCTATTGCGAATAATAATAATATGCATGTAAGAAAAGCCCAGTGCAGAGCACCCCCCGCCGATTTTCGAAGTTTCCATCACCGTCGGTTACGTTTTCATCATTTCCGAAATTGTGAGAATTACTTAACTTTTGATTGAAATTATGAATCTTATTGCAAAACCATTAATATTCAAGCTGTAAATCTCAGTTCTAGATTCTATTTATTCAGTCATTATCAACAGTTTTAATCCCATACCTCATTCAAACCCACGTGAAAAGGTAAAGCCTACCTTTTTCTCCGATGTATCCCCAATGGACGGCCATTTCCAAACGAACTCAACAAATTTAAAAACTACTATCCGGTCTTTGGAAAAGTTGCGAAGGATAAATACGACACACGGTACGGAGGTCAGGGACGATCAGTGGAGAGAATCATCCATCCACGCGATACTACGGACAGCTGAGGGATGACGTGCATGTAGGAAGCGTGACGGTATTTATTGAGCAGCCAACTGAGGGGTGTGCGCTTGTCCCGATTGGGGTCAACGAATTTCGAAAGCGTGGTGCTTGCCTGCCTACATATCCATGTGCATGTACATGTGCGTGTACATGCACATACCGTACGTGCTTTGCGTAGTTAGTACGCGCCGTTCTGATCCCCTAGCTGTGGCGATCATCCATAGCAGTCGCAGTCAGTAACCAGTGATTCCTCCAAAGAGGGTATTGTGAATGGTTTCATTCACCGTCACTATTCCGGACATAATCGGTTTCAGTCACCGTCACTTTTCCGGACGTAGTTGGTTGACGCACATTCTTTTTCAGTGAAGGATTTTTGGGCAGTTGTGTTTCCAAGAATCCAAGCCAAGCACCTGTCCTGAATTCTTCGGTATGGTCATTGTGTGGAGTGTACATGTACGTATAGCATGTACCTACGAATATTGATGGATACGGGATACCAGACAATCAGGACAGGACACACGCTGCGTGTTGATTCCGGTTATCTCGGTCGCATGTTAAAGTATAGTTATATAATGCCAGAAGCTGTGGACGCGTCCAATTTTCACAGTCCAGCTAGCTGCCCATTGGATCGTGAAGTGGTTCGAGAATAATAAAGCAAGATATGGGACGGAGAGCACCCCCCACACACACATACCTTTGTGTTGGTCATGGTCATTGTTTGATCGGAATCTCAGGAATTCTTTACAGACATCTGGGGGATGTGGAGGTAACAATAATTTAGAGTGTGTATAGGGATTGGAGATGTACGGGCGCACCTACCCCTCCGTCCCACATCTTGCTGGGTATAGGCATATAGGTTTCAGGGGTCGCTGCACTAGACGGTCGGTGGCGTAGACTACTATTTTTACAGGGTGTACGTCAGGTTTTTGATAAAATTAGACCACGGTTGGTGGGCGGGCGGCTTATCTAAAGGTCACTCAATTTACTGAGGCCAGGAATCGTTAAATAACGTCGCAGTTGGCTGAGGGATGCTTGCCTCTATCCAAGAAAAAAATAAAGAAAAGACAAAGTTGGGGGAAAGCGAACAAACAAAATAAGTGACGAAAAAGGGTGAAAGCCATCAATTTGCTTGAAGAAAAAAAAATTGAATTGACCTCTTTCTGTATCAGCTCACTGTTGATGAGTGCTTTGCCCGGCCCACAGAAATCCTCAACCCCGAAAAAGTGTTTGCGCCCCCCCCCGAAAAATCTTGGCTACGATACGCGCGCTGGATGGATGAATACATTGGGATGACGATTATACCTCCACATGCACACGTAAACTTGCACTTGGCTTATCCCTAACTAATCTTTTCTACGATGACCCAATCGTGCCAGTGGAAAAAAATTAAGTGGGAAATTCATTCGTTATTTCTAATTACTAATTCGTTATTACAAATGACTAATTGTTTGCGGTTGCTGCTGGGTTATCAGAACATGCCTAACTACGAGCCGCAGCCACCAATTTTGTACAGGGCATCGAGTACGTGGAGTGATGTCACGTTGCGGCCGGTCGTTCGGATAACTGATTCGTTTTTAGTAATCCATTTGTGACGAATTAGTAATCCGTAATAACGAATAAGTAATATGTAATAATGAATAACTCGAAATAACATCATAATTAATAAAATACCGCAATTTCTGTATTGCACCACCCAAAAGTGGGAATTAATGATGACCAAATGGCCCATGTCCCCTTTTTCAAAAAGCGTGAAGATATTATACACCTCATCATCCTTCATCGATTAGTTCCACGGTAAAGGCTCCAACCATGCAATTCAGAGCACTGAGTGGAAGGGAAACAAGATAACTTAAGATGAGATTGAAAAGACTGCGAGAACTTATAGAGCATGTTACACACCATTCACAAGAGGCATGAATGACCACATGACAGTGCTGCCGATATACTCTAAACCATACGACAAGAGGACAAAAGCTACTAGCATAAGAACTCGACCAGTAGGAAAAGAGCAAAATAATTCATAATGCCCACGCTATATACATCGGGTCCCTTTCGCGTGGATGTGTGCAGTCATGTGTGACGAGCACGTGCATGCTGCAGACGCCGCAACTGCAGCAGGTCAGTATCCATGACAACAGTAAAGCAATGTGGGAAGAAGTGAATAGACCTGAATAAAGGCGTTCTTGAGGCTAAAATTGATCGCCTAGTTCCAGTCTGAAAAAGAGTAAACTGACTCGTCCATTTTTGCTGATCTTTAATTGGTGAGCGTAAATAATTCATTTTCAGGATATAAAAAGCAAAGGTTCTATTATTTATTAAAATACACAAAGCCATCCACCTGTGAAGCCTACGAACTCCATTTAGCGTATTTTCTTGAAAAATGTCAGAATTCGGCGCAAATTTTTATTTCATTATTGATGCATTATAAATCTACCTGCGCTGCTGAGACGACAAAGAAAGCTACGACTGTTTCATTTGCGTAAGTGATTTCCTAGGAAGCAGTCATAGACAGACAACGTACGCGTTGCTGTGTTCAAAATGGCGACCATCAATTCAGGTAATTTTTCCGTGTCTGTCTTTATACAGAATAAGACTATTGTGTTTTAAAGTATTTATCTTACTGTTATATAAGAAAATGCATGCATTGGTTCTGCTGGTACCTCTGGTCTACAAAAATGCTCTTCCTAATGTGCCGAAATAACCCTTCAAAACAAAGTTGACGGTGACCGAACCGGTCGCGGTGCAGTGATGCTATCGTCGTGCGTGAAACTAGTGACGATGACATACATGATGTAGAAGTACGCATGATAGGCTAGTATAGTGGGCATGATGATGGGCAGTGTAGGCCTAGGCCTAATCATTGTTGGCCTGTTTTGTTTAGTTAAACTGGCTCCAAAAAAGTCGGTCATTGATTAGCCTGTGGGCGATTGTGAACAAATGCTTTGGCAAACGTTCATATTGACATGCATCCCTTTCAGTGACGGAAACTATGTTCACTAGTCAATGGTAGGCCTCAATTCAATTGCAGAAACTGTGAAACATTACAATGTATCAGTAGGTTTAGGCATGTCTGTTATGCCTAAATTATGGTGAAGACAATGGCACAAGTGTTTAAACCATGTCAAGCATGTAAACCGAGTGGAATTTCTGGAAAGAGATCTACATACGGACGCCATTTGATACCCTGTGCACAAACCCTAGCCTATATGAGACTGGTCTGCAAAAATGTTTTCTAAGTAAACGACTTATCGAGAAACCAATCAATCTTGGTTTTTTTCCACACAACAGAACAGTAAATATCACAGATTTACAGCAATAAATGTGGATGGGGGCTCTAGAAACCAGAGCTTGTCTGGAAGTGGCCCCCAGAAATAAAGTAAAATGACAACTACGAATACACACACTTTTACAAACATATACGTACATGTAAACATGACAGAAATTACAAGGGACAAATAGTACAAGTAAAACTTGTTCATGAATAATTAATGTAAAGATAATTATTCAGTAAGTGATGGTATTTTCCCTCCTAAATTGAACTTTACGGATATGTTTTTGCTTTCTTATGGCTAATGGGACACTTTAGGGAATAACTACTGGCATCGGTATATGGAACCCTTTTCCAACCATGCGACTAAAAACTGAACATTCCTAAAGTAAATAAGTGGATTGTGGAAGTGCGCCATTACCGTGACTGCCCTGCAACTGACCAAAAACAAATGAAAAAGGAAAAAAATAGAAGTCAGTCAGCCTGCTTCATTCACATTTTATTTTTATTTTTATTAATTTCAGAATTTTTGAAACTGTTTAGAAATAGAGCATGACAAATGTCAAGAAATTTTACTTTACGTTACTCAGCATTAGCTTAGTTGATCACAAAAGGAAACCGCGACATTTGAAAGAAATTTGCCAAGGCCATGAAGAGGGATGCAGTTGGCACCTTTTGACCTTATTTTCCTTGCTATTCCTCTGGTAGGAGGTGATGCTACTGACCCTGTGGAACCAATGGAGTTCCAGGAGGAAGAACTGGCTAAGTCAAGGTATATTACGTTCAACTTAACTGGCTCCTGACTGCTGCACATAAGAAAGTAAAGAGACGTATTGTTTTAGATTTGTGCAGCTTGGTTTTGTATGCGCTGCGAATGAGCTTTGTCTGTAATGTACTAAAGTGCAATGTCATTTTGAACCAGGAAGTATAGTGCAAACGAATGGAGAACTCGTACATGTTGGTTCACACGCTGGTTCTCGCGCTGACGTATTCACTTTGGTACTGTCTATAGCCTACAGTGGGAAAGGTGTCAGCATGTAAATTATGGAAAATACTTGTAGCGTTTCCTCAAAAAAAACCCCCAAAAACAGTTACAGGTTGTCAGTGAACTTTAACTTGATGGAACTATTGTTTTACTTGGCCATCTGAAAATGATTACTAGTTTGTGTTTTCATAACCATTCATATTCGAATGTCTGACGAAATATGTCTCAACTGTACTTTGATGCATTTTGTTTTAACCGTGCAGTTCAAGCATAGCCGATACGAAATTCGACATGACGATTGGCCACATAGAAGACATAATCATGGGTAAGTTTCCCTTCTGTGAAGGCACAGATTTGGTTTTATTACATTTAACTGTTGTGGGCACCAGTAAAAATAAGCCCAAGTGCACTTTGTTAATCGTCACACCCTTGGGGCTGCTCACAGAATTCTTGTGAAGGGTTAGGCCCTCCAAAATAGTCTTTTGTCTCTGATCAGCACGAGTGTCGATTTCAAGCATGCGCATCGGTCTTTTTTTGTCTCCACGAGAGTTGCAACAGGACCCTCTGTTGCTGCACTGCGTCAACATTTTTGTGGGCAGCTCGATCTTTTACTCGAGGCGATAGATCCCGATGAGACTGATGCTGAATAATGATAGCAGACTATGGATAAGAAGTTGTTTGTTGTCAGTTTATAATCATAATAAAGCTGGTCTAGTCCCCTGACTCCACAATGTGTGTCTGCAATTGTCTGTACAATCCAACCACAGAGGAAAAAAAAAGCCCTGTTTCCGCATCAATCCCGGATCATCAGTCTGACCAGAGACAAACTATTTTGGTTTTTGGTCTTATAAATAGCCTGTCTGACAAAAGAACTCTCTCCCATCGTTGTAACCATCTCCTGATAAAAAAACATTTGGGGTGTGTTATTTGACAAAATTTAGTGTGTTTTCAAGTTGATTTCTCTTGGTTACACTCTTGAGGAGTCTATGGCCTGTTCAGCCAAATATTTGGAGTGAGCTGGGAAATTTAATTTATTGAGGCCAGTGTTTGCTTGCAGTTATTTAATTAAGCATGCAACTTGTTTTTGCAATCTTTCACAGAGGATGAGTTCCAGAGACTGCAGAACGACTTCTTGGAGAAAAACTACCTTCACTTTGAGGACACAGAAGAGAACAAGTTCATCTACACTGATATATTTAAAGAATATGTAAGACAGTCGGACCCTTGGCCATCAGAATAATTGTTTTGTATCGGTCAAGTTCACAGGCTTCTGAAATTTTGGAAACGATGAACTCAGTATTAAACTCACGGGCAATGGAACTATCTCAACCGCTACTCATGGAATAGTGTTTATTCATTAAGACATGTGTCAGCATGAGTGATCATAACTCCCAGCAAAGTTGTTGCAGATGTTGATTTTCAACACTTACCCCTAGGGCTGTGCCGAACATCCCAATAACCAAATATGTGATCAAGTGTTGAATATTCAAATATTATTTTTAAAATTTGAATATTTGAATGTAAAATTCATGAAAAGTAAGGGAAATTTTTCTTTTGTTTTAAATGAGAAACATTGCACTATGGAGGCTTGTTTCAAGCAGATTCAAATGAAAAGCGTCAAAAATTTACAACGATTTTAAAAGTAAATTACATGTATTCATTAAACAACTTTAAAGGAATAGAAATTTTCCACAGGTCTTCATTCATCTCTTAAATCTTGCTTATTGTGGCTGGAGATACTTCGAGATGTGAGAAGCTATTATATTGATCATAATGTACAAATGTGTTCTAAAGTCCAACTCGGCTAAAATGAGAAGCCCGCTGAATGCAGTAAACTGTAAATTGGATTTTGAAGTGTTTATGTTGTATTTGATAAACACCAGCCTTTGAGCCACTGCGGACTGAAAAACACTGTACATGTACTACGTCTTGTGTAATTTAGAAGTTCCTTTTTCCCACTTCCTGGTCGTATGCATATGCACTAACAGTAAATCTTTCTTTTTCATAACTCTAGAACCTCCTGATTGAAAAGTACATTGAGGACCAGCTAGTAGCTCGAATACCTGGCTTTGACATGGAAGACTTCACCAAACAACTACAGTAAGGCAGCCCCCCCAAAAATTACCCTGTAGAAATGGATATTGTAGCAGTGGAGCTGGGACATGAGGCAAACAGTGTGGGGCTTGTGTTCTCGTACCACTGCCATTCCCAACCCTGCGGACAAGATGCATGCCCTTCTTTCAAAAGAAAAACACAATTTTATGGTGACAAAATCGTGTCTCTCACAACTCCGTCTCACACCATCGCTAACACCTTTTAACCAGTTTGCAAGTTTTAAAACCCGCCCAACACAAATATAGATTCTTAAAGTGTCGAGAAACAGCAGAACTTGAGGGTGACATCAATAATTTTTTTTTTTTCCATCTACAGAAAGAGGAAGAATCTTGATGGGGAGATTTTTGAGATCCTTCTGACATTCTCCGACTTCCTCTCATTCAAGGAGATGTTTCTAGATTTCAGGGCGGTGAGTACGGACATTATTTAACCTCGATAAATGTCGTTTGTCTCCAGAAAAAGCATTAACTTTTTTCTTACAGTTTGGCTAAATCGATTCAAATATCAACCCCGTTGCCCATTTCAAAACAAAAGAATAACACTTTTGCAGGACACAAGGTCAATAATCAGTCTACATGTTGTCATGTTTTTTCCTTTCCCTTGTACGAAAGTAAACGGAGATTCCTTTGGTATTGAAGTCTGTGTACACTATGACAGGTAAACTTATCTGAGGATAATCTATCACGCCACAAAATAACTTACAGACACATTTATGTGTTGCTGTCTGGTGGAGACCACACACGTGTTGAAGTATACATATTATTGAGAGTCCGTGACAATTCAGTCCAGAAATTCCTGGTGATAAGCACATGGCTTCAAACCTTTACTAGAGTTGTCTAAAATATTCAGAGCTTAAAAACTTAGAGGGCCTATTTTTATAGTCAATCTGAACAAAATTTGTGACGAGCCATTTGTTTTTCACATTTGCCTGTGTATTTGGTTCTGGGTAGATTCGAACCAACAGGACTTGCAATTTTAAGCCATCAAATTTTCTTAAAAGAAATCTTTACCTCAAGACAGACCGGGCTAGGGCTGATACGTTTGTGTGTAATATTCACCATTCTTTTTGAAGACAAGGTACTGTGTGTCATATCGTTGGTCTTTGACAAAGCCTGCAATTTTTCATCGTGAGGACTTGGCAAAGGATTTTCCTCCCGAGCACAGAAAAAGGCTTTTGTTTCTTTATATTGCCTTCCTCAGTCTGAATGTTGCAAAGCTCACCCGGCAGTTACACTTGGAGGTTCATGTACATTAGGATCGTTCACCATACAAATGCCAGCCGGTGTCGGTCGGGAGATACACTGTCATTTGTCAACCCAGAAACTCACTGTTATGTCTGCCCTTGATCCATAGTTTATGATCATGGCCATTAAACACAGTAGACATTGACAATTACGGACTACACAATAAAAGAAAATCATTCCTGCAAGATCGTTCTCAAAGGAATATTGAGTCATATATCTGTAGATGGCTATTTTCAACCCACTTTTAAATGTCAGACAGACCATTTGGTTTTTATTGGCACAACTGCAGTAAATGAAAAAGTGGTCATAAATGAAAAATTTGTCAGCAGTTTTAGTGAAGTTGTAGTTGTATTAATTTTGTCGACCCTCGTCCGACAAATATTTCTGAACTTAGTTCAGTTATGCTGTATTTTTTTACAAGAATGTACAAATGCATCCAAGGTACAAAGACCACCCTGAACTTTTTTGTTTAATTCCAATTTTATTGAACGAAAATTGTCACGTTGGTTTTAGTGTTTATATGCACAAAGGACTGTATAATTATGCTTCGAAAAGCATTGTTTGTCTTTAAAGTCCTGGAAAATTGTCTGATTCGTTACCCCTTGAGCATGGCAAATGATTTCCACCAGTTAGTAACTGACTAAACCTAGAATATGTCTCAAGGCGCCTGTAGCAGCCTTGCGATCCTTTCTTCCCTGGAAGTGTAGGTTTACTCCTTCAGAAATAGCCTTTGCAGCCTGTGAAACGTCCCGGTGTGATTGAAGCCTTGCTCACCCAGGGTTTTTTTTAGCTCAAAGGTCTTTGACTTTTTGCACCCTGTTGACCCCAGGCCAAAGAGGGCAGGACGGTTGACCTCAGTGCGGGCCTCATTGTCACCCCGTTCGCTGCACCAGAGACAGTTGCGCAAGCTGTGACACATGGGGCGACACAACGCACCACATACCCCCAAGACACTTCACAACCGGGCTCGTCATCGTCCAAATAGCCTCTGTGGAGATGACTGCTTTAGGTGCTGAAGTTTCTTTTTTTTTCACTCTTTTTGGTTTTATTTGAGATTTGTGACACCTTGCGTCAGGCGTCCCTTTGCTCATTGTCTGATTTGTCTACTTGTTTTGATGTGTAGATTTTTTTTTAATGTTTGCCTTAAGTTGTAAATCCAAAGTGTGATTTCCAGACTTGATCACAAGTTTCTTGTGCATTTGCTAAAACGAAAAACTGCAGCATTTTCCTTCTTCGAATGCATTAAATACACCCTAACCCTTTTCAGGGTTGAAGACAGATGGATTTCTTTCTTGAACCTCTGACAATCTCCTGCAGTACTTTTGGATACCATTTTCAAGACATTTACCTTTTGGCAATCAGTGGATTTGTAGGGATTAATTTTTTTAGGTTACAAGCAATTGTCAATAACTTCTGCAAAACCTTGTAGGGAAGATAACCTGAAGGCTTGCTATTTCTCACCTGGAAATTCTTGTAAATTTTGTCTCTGTAAATGCATGACAGGGAGTTTATGTGCAAGTTTCACTCCACTCTGGAAAAGCATTTCCAGAAAAAATTCATTCTTTGTTAAGGGTAGTTAAAAAGATAATGTAAAATTCACTGCTTAAAATATTAAAGTTTCAAAAGCAAAATTTGCATTTGATAAAGTTGTAATTATCTTCTCAGTTTAAAGACCTACTTCTCTTCGAATTGACTACGATCTTAGAGATACAAATTGTACTTATTTCAAAAGTTCGAAATCTAATCATAGCTACTCTGTACATAATTTTAAAAATCTTATTGCAGTAGTTACTCTAATGATTATTACATAACTGTATTCTGTGATCGTTTGACAGTACTTACTCTCTGTGTTCATGTGTTAGCAGTACCAATTCTCTGATTGGTATTTTCATGTTTAATTGTTTTTTTGATGAGGCTTATCGTCAAAACGTTCAGCTTTCAAATAGAATACAGTATCATTTGAATATTCCGTCAGTGTAAATACTCTCTCCATGGCAGAGACACCTGCAACACACCCGTTATTTGAACATGCTATTCAAGGACGTGTGTATTCTGCCATTATCAGCAAGCATTTCCATGTCAAAGACACAAATATCTGGCCTTGCAAGATACTCATGGCAAACTGTAATATTTATTTGTACATACGTGTATGTTGACATTTCGGAATTAAATAAATTGTGAAGTTAACACAGGTACCGCCCAATGGCAGTGTACTGAGCTTTCCAAAGCGAGTTGCCGGGGAATAAAACAGAAACTCAAAACACAGAACGAGCAAAACTCTACAGGACTTTACACAGAATTTTTTTTTATTGATACAAAGCCCCAAAGAGAAATCTTCATCTCAATATGTCCCGCTATATTATTCAACTTGCCCCACTAACACCTGTAGCAATGTGCAACTTGAAGTATGCATTCAAAAGCATTTCACACACCCGAAGGAAAGAGAGCTTTGCCAACCAACTCTTTGCCAGTAATGCCATGGAATTATGACCCTAAAGCATGAAACGTATTCATTCACACGTCGGTATCTGCTTCCCAACCCGTACCCAACGCCTTTCACCCCAAGGCTTTGTCACAACTTTCCAAAATGCTCTGGAATTAGACTTTTTTTCTTTACAGTTTGTCCCCTCAGTTGGCTCCCTTGGAAAGCAGTTGTGGGCCCCCCTCCATTGTAAGACAAAGAACTGGGTACTTATCACCATTTACATGGTGCTTGAAGACTCTACATATTAAAACTATCACACAGTGGTTTTCTTGTAAGACTGCACTGATAGCAGATAAGGAGCACAATAGGGTGACAAACTGCTATGTTTAGGCAGCTGAACAATTTTTCAAAGTTATTGCGCAGAGACAGCACAATAACACGTCAGTAAGTGCGCTGAAGTGGTTTCATTAGGTATGATGTCACAGACTGACTGGTATTGGTTATGTAGTCTTGGCACCTTCCATTCTTTCTGTAGGGGGCTACTGTTAGTGCTGTGGAGGGTCAGGAACTGGTAAACCGAGCAGCCCTAACCTTCTGAGTAAATGTTAAATGCCTTGCAGCATACCATTTTCCATCATCACATTTTTTATAGATCGTCTATGAAAATGGTCCCTTGCAGACAACAGTATGACATCCTGCATATAGCACGTACACAGGATTTTCAAGATGTATTTTTGCGTAGGGGAGATGTTAATCTCGTTATATAAATGTACACAGGATGTGTACACGGTATGATGACTGTCATGGCATCCTTCAAAGCCTGCGCATGAAAAAAATAATATTCTGAGACGTTTTCAATTGGGATCCAGGAGACTGCAGTCAGAACTGCTTAGTTCATGAGTACTTCCATCTGGACCAGTCTGGCATTGGTGTCGCCGGGCATTCGGTAAGGCAGCATACCGGCAAAGGTGATGAGCGACTTGGCCTGCTTCCTCAGGTGGGCGAGGTACTGGAAACGAAAAAAAGGCAAAGACTTCATGTAACTTTAAAACTTTCACAGCAGGGTTAAACAAAAAAACCGACTCTGTAAAACCGGGTGCAATTTGACTTGGGCAAATCTTGAGATGAGATGTCAAGCATCAACGTAAGAGCGTCTCAATATTTTGAGCAATTGGAACTGGCGTTCCCTGTTCTTCCCACATGGGAAGGGCACACTTAGACTGTTCTCAAAACAGGTACTGTCTGCGGCTAACGCAATTTCACCAAAGCACGCTCAGCTTTGGAAAATGAGTAACTTGGAGCTCATCCCAAGCTGGTTAAGCGCAAGGAACACTGCTACCTTCCCTCAAATTTCTTTATCCTTTTTTCTGTTGTGTTTTGAGTGGTTTGTAATATTTCACAACATGAATGACAGACAAATTGGGCAAAGAGACCAACAAGATAAGCTGACCCTATGTGACAAGGGATTCACTGGCTTTAATAGTCCAACATTCTACAGCTGTGACTGAAGTCAGCAAAGCAGCTATCAGCCAACGGCTTCCAATGACATGCATGTTATTGTATTAAAGCCAAGGCCTTGCAATACAGCTATTTTCACACTGCCAGACTTGACCGTGTCGTCTTGCTCACCGACTCTTTTCCTCCGTCCTCCAATCGGACTGTCGCTCTTCCCTGGGCATTCTGCAGGGTGCTGTTACGAATCGTGCGGTACTTGGTGTGCAAGATGTTCATGGTGGCTAGCAATATGTCCGGCATGTTTCGTCTCACCTTTTCAAGATCAGAGATAACATATTTCAAGTTTGACTAGACGGACTCTGTCTCCGAGCATTTTCTCCACGTAAAGGTTTGCTGGCAACTCCTGCACCAGTTGACAGGCTATCGAAATGTTTACGGCCAACCAACTAAAAGGAAACTTGCTAGGTCTAAACAGAAACAGTGCTCTAAAAGAGAGCCATCAGTACAGAGGTGATATAAACTATACATGTACAAATTGCGAGTTCATATCTTACATCAGTTCAGCATCTTCATTAGCCTTAACCAGGGGGATGAATGCCCTTTGAAAAGTCTGAGTACAAGAATGAGCAACAGGCTGCCTGACAACGGGAGATTCAAAAGGCAAATCAAAGAAGTTTGGCAATCAGTTTTTGGGAAATCAAAGAACTAAAATCCTCACCTCATCTGTGTACTGCTTGAAAGCATTCACTTTGTCATCGACTGTCTCTGGGGTAAGGGGCACCAGCTGTAGAGATGTCATCGTCTGGAATGGAGACAAAAACACAGTAACTTCATCTCAGTTAACAGTGGTGGAAACTTGAAAATCAGCCGTGCTTTATTTTCAGAAAGGACTAAAAACTGTCTTGTTTTCCTTATAAAGTCAGACTTCTGAACAAAGTGGTGCTTCTCTGACCTCTAGGGCCCTGTCCAGCTCTCTGCCGTGGTACTGGTCAAAGAAGGTCATCAGGTCAAGCAGAAGGTAGAAGGACTTGGTATTGGCTTGGTTGCCGGTGACACACTGTGATCGAAATCTATTGAGAGAGCAAACAATGTATGAATTCTCCCATGAGGGAAACAATATGTATTTATTCAAGGCCATCAGTTTAACCACTACCTGCCGGGTGGAATTTTCTTGAGCGGGATGTAATGGCGAGACCTTTTCAAGATTTTCCCTTTTCAAAATTCTTAAAAACTTATGTGTTCATTTACTGGATGTTTACACCCACACGAACGACTCTCAGGTGGCTACTCTAGTCTGTCAGGCAACCTTCAATGATGCCAGAGTATTCAGCCCAAGCCTGCAGCCCTGTAAAAGAGAGTCTAGAATTATGTGGTGTTGCATAATTTCCTTTGTTCCAGTAAATGCCAGTAGCATCTTTCATACGCAGCTGGATTAGCGAGCAGCGGAGCTGTGTCGCTCATCAATGGGGCCTTGGAGCACTTTTGTCCGCGGTGGTAATCCGTGGGTGCAATATGCCCAAATACAGTGGTATACTGTTTCAAAACAGTGCCGGGTTACCTTTGAAAAATGGAAGTCGAAAAATGATGGCAATTCCCAGCAGCAGGTGCTTTGTTCCGAGTACAGTCTTTTGTTACACTGACCAGCTCTTTTGTCCAAAACTGGGCACCCCGGCTCACACGGTGCCCAAAACAGGGCTCCCCGGCGGGAAGCAGTTAACCCCTTCTCACTGGGAAGCGGAAAGAGCCACTGTACAAATTGAGATCCCTCAGCCCGCTTTTCAGCTATTATTCTTGGCCCACGCTCAAGCGAACACGGTGAAAGAAGGCATACCCTGGCTCTTGTATATGTTGGTAATTGGCCTTTGTGTGTTGCCAAGAAATGTAAAGGCCGATTTTGCATCATAATCACCAGCTTCACAATAGTCCCCATTTAGAAAAGAGGCAACTGGAATGTGGAAGCGTGAGTAGAGCCACATGCCACCGAACAATGAGCCTTTTCACTGTGTAAATCAAAGCGTGTAGAGCACGCAGGGCCACAAATCGAGAATTTGCAGTTTGGCAGGTGGCCTTTGTGGTCAAGCGAGGCTGGAATTCTTGGAGTCGGCTTTCAGAAAAAAGTCCCGACGTCAAGGGGTTAAGCTGCTCACTAAAGCCACTGTTATTCCAAAAAAAACAGCCAAGAAAATTACCTTCCCGCAATGGCCACGGCCAGCGTCTGCAGCCTCTGTCGGTCCGACTGCCCACTTTTGGGAACCGCAACAATCGGACTCAGTAAACGATTCAAGATTTCAAGAACCTTGTCGGCATTCTGGAATGAGAGAGAAAAAATGTGACCACTTAAAAGTGATCTGTTACAAAAGTATCTGACGCCATCCATGAGGCTCCCTGCAACATTGCAACTGAACTAGGCATTTCTGGAAAAGGAACTTTGGGGACAAGTATAAAGGAGAACATTTATTTGTGGGAATCGGGAGTGCATTTACAACACATAAGAGTGTCATACCTTCCTTGAAGTGTACCCGCAATGAATTTTTCTTTGACACAATCTTTCTGCATCTTTGTACTTTTCCTCAATGTATGAAAACCCTTACACACTCCCATTTGGTTAAATGCACGGGAAAGTGCACACTTTTAAACAAGCAAAATTATCCATGTTTTCTCGGACAACTGAGGGCGCTGTTGCTGTGAAGTCATCTAGGGAAGACATGGTTCAGTGCATAGGTATTTCTGTTCAAATTGTGAACCCAGAATTTACTAACAGAAAACATTTCTGAGAGAGGGATTGATGATTTGTTATTGCTATGCACATAAACAACAATGAATCCAGTGAAGAAGAGAAAACTCAGTCCAAGAAAATCTACCAAACCGCAGGACTTTTTTGTGTATAAACCAATGTAACATTGAGGCTTTCTTCCTGAGATGACATCACAGTTATGTTCATGAATATGGAAATACTCATTAGCATAAAAGCAAACAAAGCATTAAAATACCCTTGGAAATACTGAAACCAAAGTTGAAAATAAGGTTTACTGAGCCACAAAGGTGCATTTCACAGGTTTGTAAGCAAAACCATGGATTGCAGCTACCCTTTCAACAACAGGAAAATATGTTCAAGTATCGACTGTGATGTTAAAAAGTGGTCATGGTTCAACATAACAAAAAGCACACCTTCTCACATCAAATGTGTTACCGTTAATAAAACATCCATACCGTAAACAAATAAATCGGGGATGAGATTGGGATATGAAGACAACCACCAGAAACATCCTGCAGGGTTGTTGTAACAATGACAATGACTGACAGGGACTTTGCACGGATGACAGGGCATGAGTTATCTCCAAGACAGGATTTATCAGGTGAATTTTTCACTTGGTGGACTGATTAAACCTCTAAAATTTCCTGAACATTTGGCTCAAGACTTCCCAAATCGAGGGATATCCTGAGAAGTTACCACCCGATATATTTGATGTTACAACAAAACTGATCCTACTTTTGAATGCCATCATCGGCACGGTTCGCCGACTCACCCCGGCCAGGTCATACAGTTTGACTGCGTCCTCAAAAAGCCCCTTGGCCTCTGTGTCCCGGGCCACCGTCTCCACGATCCGCTGCGTGTTGGCCTGGAACTTGTCCACGGCGCCGGGCCGACGGGTGCCGTCCGACCCCAGCCGGCCCAGGAGGGCGTCAAACTCCCGCGTCTCGATGACCATCTCACTCAGGCAGGCGACAAAGAGGTTCTCCCCCTTGGGGTCCTTCAGGCCTCTGAGGGGGGTGGGGACAGAAGGCAAGAGGGGGTGGAGTGGGAGGGGAATAAGATTACAAACCCTTGCATTCTGCAGTGGTGCACACAAAGCTGACAATCTTCTACTTCATCTGATTTGGTGAGAGAAATGACCTCAACAAGCTGAGCAGTTGACCAGCAAAAACCTCCACTAGCAAGCAGAAGGTTGGGGAGTCAAGTCCTAGAAGAGTGTGCCCATGAATTGATCCTTTATGTCTTACTGGCTCTTGGACAGCACTGACTGTAGTGAGCTCATAAAATTGTGTCACATGGCAAAACCTAACAAGCATGACACGTACGGCACAGAGTCGAGGAAAAATTCCTTAAAGCATCTCATTAATAATATTTCTTAGATGCTGCCCTCAGCCCCCAGGTCCGTGACCAGCAAGGTCCACAGGACCCAGGGGTCCCTCTGTATGTCTAGCATTGCACAGCATTCCTCCAAACACCAGACAAGTCTAGTATCCAGAGTCCTGCTGTGCTACGAGCGCAAGGATTGGTATCATCACAGGGCAATTGACTAACAGGTAAACAGCGTCTCACGCCATGTACAAATTATATGGCTACGGCTAGAGAAAAACATGTGCGCCAAAGAAGCCACTAGCTAGTAATCATAGCCATTTACCACATCATCATAGTTCGACTTCTGAACTGGAATAGGGTTTAAATGTCTTTCTTTGGCGCCTTTGAACAGCCAGAGTGACAGCCAACATATTTTTACATATGTAAACATTGTAAAAGGTCAGTGTTTCTTAAAAAATAGCTCATTGCATCAGAAAAGGAATTTCAAAGCAAACAACATAATTTCAGTTTAGCAAAGCTGTGAAGCTACTACTTAGAACAATGAAGCTTGATTACAATCCTCAGCAAAAATCAGCCGAGGACTAACAAACTCTTAGCACAACAGCTTTGCCGGTAGCCCTGTTCTGGGCACTTTGTCGTTGGATACATTTTTTTCTTTAGCCAAACTGTTCTGTTCTTAACAACTTTCTATGTGCTCAGCAGATAGCCCTCCCCCCTATACCTGAGCAAGTAGAAGTACTGCAGTGCCTCCCTGGGGTCGGTGTTCTCAAACTTAGAGGTGTACATGCTGATGAGACGAGCAAAGTTGAGTCTCCTCATGGGCGGAGGGTCGTCCAGGTGCTTGCTCACTGTGAAAGGATGAAAATCAGTGAAGGATTAGTAATTAATCTCCACAGTATTACCTAAATAAGCCTTTTGCGATTTGAATTTGAATCAAATCTGGCACCCTGAATTCTTAAAATTCACATGAACATAACAATTTGAATTCCCCAGACTAAGGACACTGTTGTTATTACTCATTCAGGGCAAGCTTTTGCATAGCAACCACCATTTCTGGAATAGACTGGTTTCTTATCCATTGAACACAGCGTATTGGTACAAGGCGGTTCTTATGTAACTAAGCAAAAGCTTGCCCCAAATCACGAGGTATAGCAAAAGTGTCTTCAGTATAAGAAATTCAAATTGTTATGTTCATGTGAATTTTAAGAACTCAGGGTGCCAGATTTTATTCAAATTTATCTCAAAAAAGACTACTGTACAGAGTGGCCAAGTACAGAAAAGTTGTGCTTTAAAAACGTAGTTACCAGGCACTATATCAGGTGATATGCATTTCTGATTGGTACAGACTGATTCCTTTCACTTTTCTGCAAAAAATTTGATTCAGAGGTAAATGTGTCCATATTGTTTGTGTGTAGTAAAAATTTAAATCCGCACAACAAAGGTCATCACAGTAAATGGCTTTTTTGACAAATTTAAGAACATGGCTTAACTGTAACATCAACAAGGTAAACTGGTATACGACATATCCACATACACAGTTCAGTTCTCTGTGGTGTTGCATAGAAAGCATGCTGTTCAATCCTTGCTGACTCAAATTAACCTGCTTAAGTTTCTGCTGAGCACTTTCAGATTCTTCCGAGATGCAACAACAACAGCCGAAGACCCCACAGGCGCATTCTACATACGTAAACTTCAGCGGGCCTCTAGACCCACGTCCAAATAACAGTGGATTTTCTCTTCTCTTTTCAGTGCTGCAAACTGCCCACCAGTCTCCCGGTGTGAACCTGGCGGTCTGGACGACGTGCCAGGGTCACTCTACGGTCATTTGCAAAAGTTTAGGACCACCCGTAGAAAATGCATTAACCTGAAGGAAAACCAAACTGAAACCAACCAATCCTGGCAACTTATATTTATTTTCAATGTGTAACCTTGGTACCTTGGTTGAACATTTTTGACTACATTTCCATGATTTGACATGTTAACAGTCTAATATTCAGTGTTCCCTCCTTTATTTCTGATTGCTAAGATTGGCTTTTTTTCCCAAGCTTCCTTACAGACAAAATGTCATACAAGACCTGCCTTTGCAAAAGAATTTCATTCAAATGGGTATATAGCACTACACTGATGTTATGCAACACTGTAAAATCATGTTAAGTAATCACTCAATGAGACAATGTAATGCAGGCCCAGTGACAGAAATACCAACAAAATTCCAGGTGGTCCTAAACTTTTGCAAATGACTGTAAACCTCTGCCGAGGGATTTCAGGAGAACAGAATTTCACGACATACAAAAATCTGTTTCCTTTCCCGACATACTGCAAGAGAAGGTACTCACAAACTTGCATCTGGATATTTGCCGGCAGGACCAGCAGCCCCATCTCGTACAGCACGATGGCGGCATGCACGGCGTGGCAGCGCAGCCGCAGGTCTGACCGTGCCAGGAACTCCACGGCCGCCTCAAACTGAGCTGAGAGGAAGAGGACCTGGAAGTAGAGGTAAGGGTTCTGGGCGGCGCTGAAGTGACCCTCGCCGTACTCCTCCAGGAGGGTGGTCTGGAGCTGGGGGAGGGTGAGGCGGTCGGAGGAACTGGGACCTGAGTCCTCGACGAAACTGACTTGGCTCAGCTGGGGGGGGGGTTGAGACCACGGAAATATTGTTCAAAATTATAACAATAATAGTTCCAGGAATGGCACCGAGGAGACATTGCATGGACTTGTGTACAAACTTTGAAAGGAACTTCAAAGCTGTAAAGCCTATTGAAAACAATACAAACATGAAACCCCAAATTACATGAGTTTCTGACAAAATGAAAATAAAATTCCATCTCCTAAAGGCTGAAACACTCAAGACCTCGAAATGTCCCCCTAATGCCCAAAGTCTACCCATGGTTACACTCCTTACTCCACAAGTTCTCCATCATACCATTGTAAATATAATTTGAAGCTTATGTTACATAACCTGTTTTAAAATGAACTGCACGCAGAGAAAATACAAATTTGAACTATGAAACGTCTCCAAATCAACCACAGCAAAAAGGAAACAGCAACATCAAAGCATTTGGTTGGAACGGATTGTAAATTCTGGATATGCACAGTCACATCCTGCATATTTAATTCTTTAGATAAAACTTGACCCTTTCCACTGGGACCACAGTTCCAGTGGCTCTTATTCCATGTCCCATTTTTGCTTCTTACTGAAAAAGTATTAACTCTAACTACCCCCCAAAATCTATCAAAATCCATTTCCCCCATGCTGGGGGGATAATGTCTGACTTGGTCCAGGAGCCCTGGAGCACTGCCATGGCATTCAGTGCACGTTGTCGTGGCAACGGTCCTGATGACATCATATAAGCCATCTGTAATAGGTCCATCAACAATGACTATCATGCCAGTGGAGGGCTTTTCAGCAAGCAACATGGACTGCACAGGGAGTGTTGAATTTTAATGGATATGGACCAGTGTCTAGCGAAAGGCATTGTAAGTTGGGGTTAAAAAATTTTTTAACAAAAACGCTTTTCTGTTACTATTCTGATCAGTCAATCAACCAAAAATCACGCCTTCAAAGTTTTCCATCGCGACCACCACTGTCTCCTTCAATTTTATTTTATCTAAAAATTCAATCTACCTTCATCCATAGATAGTCCTCTGTCTTGCTTATAACTTCTGAGTGACTGTCGGTTGTGTCACAACATCCGATGAGACAGTATACAGCTCTGTATGGTGCGGGGGCATGACGCAAAAACATTAGCACGTTAAAATGGTACAACAATTCCATTCCCGTAGATTACAGAATGCCCTACAGCACAAGGAAATCTACCCTTCAGATTTGGCATACCACACAAAACTTAGACCAAGTTGCTTCCATGACAGAACAATCTTACTAAGGGCTAGTTTCAAAAAAATGGCTGCGCAAAAATAGCAGGAACAGTGCCAAAAAGATCGCTGATGCATCGTGTGTCGACCATGCACAGCCATGTGCATCAGCTTAAACCACAAGGATGAAAAAAAACAATTTACTGTAGTGTGCACGTATAAAAAAGCCAAGCTTCTTAACCCTAACAGTCCTCAATCCTTCACCCGTTGGAGGACTGTTAGGGTTAACGTGATCACCTCTTATACGGGTCCGGGCTGTTTCTGACGTTGGATCGGTAATGTATCCGTAACTTGGTCTGCATGTTTGGAGAAAGCCTAAACCAACAGAGAAACGAATGAAAGCAAAGGTTAAGAAGACCAACTCCTTTTTCAAGGGCTGTTGCAGGAGAAGAATTGGACGGTACTATGTTAAACAAGTTTGCCAAATAATTATAGTTTTATCCAGAACAACTTACCTCCTGTCTTCGCTGTCCATGTACTCCTTAAGATATTCTTCAAATTCACCCAAATCATGACTGGACACCAAAACGCACAAAAGGTTGACACATATTTAGTTTTCAAAGAGCCAAGATAAAATTTGTGGACATTTTATTCAAGAGTATCTTTGAATGTGTACACTCGCACGTTTCTGTAGTTGACACCGTGTGTTCCAATTAATTACCCAATCAACAGAAGTTCTTAATTGTTTCCAACTTCATAGCACTGTAGTGTTAAAAATGGAGAGCAACTGTAATTTGAACCTTGAAATCATCAAGATTACCACCCAGGTCTTTGAAGCATTCTGTCAGAACTCACAAAAGTATAAACCTGGTACAACTCCTTCCCATAACAACGGATGTCCCCATTTTGTACAAGATACGAAAACGGTGTCACTGAGATATTGCACCGGAGTGGATTTTGGTAAATTTAAGAATGTCCCCCCGAAAACGCTGCTCGACTTACGCTGCTCTCTGCACAGCATGCAACGTGGCATCCAGATCCCCGCAACGGAGACAGTAATAGATGATAGGCCAGACAGGCTGACCGTTGACTTCACCATCCTAGACCCAAAAGACAACACCAATGTCAAACCCGCCGGAGAAGGGTGTAAAAGTTGGAGAGGAAGCTGAGAAAGTTGTGGTATTTTCGCTTGTAACTCACCACTGTGACCTTCATCATTATGAAGAAATGCTCAAATGTCAATGTGAAATTTTCCTGTGGACTTCTTCCATCACATACCCTTTGCAGTTTTGAGTGATTTTTGATTTTCTTCTGAAGCTAGTTTGCCAAGTTACCTGGCGTGCTGCCCTCAGCCCCCAGGTCCGTGACCAGCGAGGTCCACAGGACCCAGGGGTCCCTCTGTATGTCTAGCATTGCATAGCATTCCTCCAAACACCAGACAAGTCTAGTATCCAGAGTCCAGCTATGCTACGAGCGCAAGGATTGGTATCATCACAGGGCAGTTGATCCATCTATCTGGAATTCAAATTATTTGCTCAGTATGCGTCACAGAAGTAATTCTATGCCCAAAAGCTACAAAAAATTATTAGAAACACAGCTCTGGCCTTCCCAATTTCTGTACTGTTTCATTTTCTAGTGGGAACATCAATCATTCCCAGCTAAACACAAGAGTTCCAAGCTGAAAGCAAACTGCTACCACTGCAGCAAATATATTACCGTGGGAAAGTGACAGCTCTGAGTTTGCATCAAAGTTTACATTTCTGAAGTAGCCATGCACATGAGCAGACAAGCGTTCTTTGGAGATACTCAATAGTTCCAGGAATGATGTGCACCAAACTTTTGACAGGCTGCGCTACATGTGTAACACTGTGGACTGTTCTCCTACCTCAAGTCCTGGGATTGGATGGGGAAGTTTGACCTTCAGGAATCCCTGGACCAGAGGGTAGGTTCCTGGGATGCCTCCCACCTGGGCCCGCTGCAGATTCTCACCAACGATGGTGCTGATGTACTTCAGGTAGCTGGGAGGGGTCACAAAACACACCATCAGACACCATATTGTCGACAGTGGTACCAACTACATGTATGAACTTTGGGTTGTAGTCTGGCAAGGTCAGCAGAAGGTGATGGGCGTCACGCTCTGCCACAGCAGAAACTGTGGAAACTTTTATCCTAGCACGTTTCTCATAGGGCATAACAACCCTGCCCATAACAAGGTTAATGAAAGGCGATATCAAGTCAATCCTCTGAACTCTCTGCTCACTATGAGGGAGTAAAGCTTCAGAATGGAACTAACATTCTGGATCAGCAAGTTTTCAGACTTCATTAACCCCTTCGCCACGGAGGACTGCTTCTGCTGCACCATTGTGTGAGAATTAGTGCATACCACACATACAGTCTATTCACCGTGCAGCTGCTGGTTCAATGGGGCCTGCTGCTGGACCAAGCCTTCCATTCAGGGCTTACCACAGCCCAGCAGTTGAAGGGGTTAAGTCAAACAAAAGCTGCCTTATATCACAGGTTCAAACTTATGGCATATGACAGTAATATCACAGGTGCGTGTGGTCAGTGGGATGTCAAGTCATCTGTTGTACTTGAGTCATTTATTGGAGAACACAAGGTTTTTGTTTCACCTCTTTTCCAGGAAGATCCGTGCCTGTCGTACAAACGCCATCTGCATCTCCTGTGAGCTCCTGACTTGTACCGTGTCGGCGGTGGCTACCAGGGGTACTGATGTCATCTCTCTGACCATGGCCCAGAGTTCACTCACTCGCTGTAACAGAATCAAAACCACCTCCGCTGTTTGGTGCTTAAACTGAATTTCAGGATTCCAGTAACGCTGTGACAACCAGTGTTGCATTTGAGTTCATCTCAAGTCCTTTCACAAGTCCAGTCACAAATCCCTTCACAAGGCCAGTCATAAGTAACAGGGTGAACAATGACAAAAGAATGCTTTTGTCACAGCTCATTTGAATAGCTTGCGAATTGGCTTAAGACTGAATGACTTGTGATCAACGTATAGGGACTTACAGTGACTTGTGAAGGACTCAAATACAACACTGTCGAAAACTCTCCGAACAGATGCTGGTTTGGACAGCCCCAAATCGGCAGACTTCTTGCAAACATCTGTACACACACTGTCCAAGCAAGGTAACTGCTGCACATTTACAACATCCACCATAGTCGAATAAAACCTGGACATGAAAAATGTAACTCACGTTGTCTTCAAACTGAAGGCTGATTTGCTCAAATAAACGGATCAGGTTCGGTCGCACACCACCACGGACAACTCTATCATTATATTTATACACCTGCACAGAAAGACAGAAGGCATACATGTTAAATGTTAAAGCCCAACTCCTCTAAGCTTGGTCACCTTCCTTTATATACAGCTATTCTTTCCTGACTACGAGCAATTCAGTTTTCACCGGTTCCTCAAACTCCCTTCTTGTGAACAAAAGTGCAAAGGTAATCCTTTTAATATTTTATTATAAGAAAATCAGGTGCCTTCCAAGTCATTTCACTAGGAGCTCTTGCTGACAGGGTAAGGCATCCCGCACTACACTGTGTGGAGGACACTGGTATACTTGTCTGGCTGGTAAAGGTAAACACATTCTTTTGTACATTCAATGGGTTAACAGTGAAAACTACAGGGTTTTGTAATTAAGTGGCTGAGGAGAAAATATCCCTTAGCAGATTTGTTTCAGCTGAGCACAAATCAGCTGAGCACCAGTCACGGGCAATACGCACTGCATAAAATTGCACCTGGTGACTTTTTGTTTGCTAAGCAAGTATTTTCTGTGCTAGTAAGCAGTTTCACGACACCAATTTGTGTTCTGACCTCCCTGGCGTAGGCCAGCTCCATGCTGCTCATGGCGCTGCGGCCGTCCATGGCCATTGTCTCGCTCAGTACCGACTCCGTGTCCGGACCGATGTCCAGCATGTCTTCCCCAGTGCCCACCAGGGCATTTAGGATCCGCTGGCGCTGTTCCTGCCACTCAGACTGCATGGTCTCCCAGAAACGCTTCTCAGTCTGTTGTAAGGTCTACGGACAGAAAAAGGGGTCAGGGGTCAGGGGCTTGAATCCAGCTGCTAGGTTTGTGCCATGCCCTTGGGCAAGCCAGTCCCTTTCCATACACCGAAGAAGGCCTACCTCCAAAACTTGACTACACTAGTATCCACAGTACGTGACCTTGTTGGTTGTGAGGAGATTTCCGTCGTTACCCAAAATTGGCAAGAACTGTAGAAGCCTTCAAGGGTCCCCATACACTTTTTTCGGGTCACAAAATAACTACCATACAACGCAGGTCTGGCTCTCAGGACTACTGAACAGGTACATGAACACTCGAGGTATGCTTAGAATTTCCACCGGGAATGTGTGACGTCAGGTGAGTTATTTACTCGTGAATGACAGAGGGTTTGCTTTTTAAGCGAAGAAAAATGGAAGTACTTACATTCTTTTTGGTTTCCTGGATGACGGCCAGGACAGCATTCTCCCTCTCATTCCTCAGGAAGCTCTGCCGCACAAAGAATACCAAGTGTTGATTTTTACGACTTTGTTCTTTTTTTAATGTCTGCCTGTTTCTCTGTCCCTCGTCTTCGTTTTGCTTCATAAAACATGTGCATGCAAACAATCGCTCTAATGCGACAATTACGTTAGGGCATGAAATGGCCTTTTGCTGTATGTCTTGCTTTTGGGAGGGTTTTTGTTTCGGTGAAGCTTTTCCATAGAGGCTTCCGCTAGTTGAAAACGAGTTCTTCCTTTGCGAATTTATAATGTTTGGTTTTTCTCCACATCGTCAAATTGTACTTTTTGCATATATTCATATGCTTTGTCAATGTCATGAACTCCAACCAATCATGTAGAAACCTAACTGCACTGAACCACTGCATAGGAATGTTTGGTGTTTTTGTACCTGTATGTCGGTGTCTGCGATGGGTTCCAAGGGTTCAAACGTCTTAGTGGCACTCAATGTCTCCAGTCTCTGGGAGATTCTAGGCACATCCAGCCCCTTGGAGCCAAGGAGTATCGATCTGCACCAATAGACAAAAACCCCCCACATGACTCAGCGCCATCACTAGGTGACACTTTCCAATTTTGACCCAAACAGGGGTTTACTGATTGACCAGAAAAGATATTCTGCTGTTTCAAATCTTATTCCTCCAGTGAGTGCATTTGTACCACTGCTCTTCAAAATCAAGAAGTGCACTGTCCCCCCCCCCAGTCTAAATCCCTGTAAAACACAACAAGATTTTCAAGATGTACTTTTTTTGCATTGGGGAGATGTAAATTTATATAACAGGTTTTGCCCTTACCCAACGTATATATTAATAAACACTGTATGCTCAGTGCTTGTCCGAGAGCTTGCAAAATACATCTTGAAAAATAGTTTGCAGTATCCGCTGCTGTACCTGACTCGGACCGACACTTAACAACACACTGACAACCTGTTGCAGTTCAAACAAACAATGTTACAAAACTTCCTTTGTATTTTTTTCATGGCCTCTATCTCAAGAAACAAAATAACTCCTCATAGCAACGGTCAAAGAAAAGAAAAACCCTTTATGAAAATGCACTGCACATATTTCATTTGGAGTCTAAACTGTGGTTAAAGATTATCCAAAACAGATGATCTTGTTGGATGCATTTTGACTGTATCACTAGAGTATGACAGATTTGTATTGGAACTGGGGGATTGAGGACTGCCGGGGTTAATGTCAACTCCTTACGCTTTGACATCTGCCGCATCCGGTGTCCCGACCTGTGCCGTCTTGGTCCACAGACGCTGGCTGGTCTCCATGATCTGGTGGAGGTTGCGTTCCACACGGGGCAGCTCTCCTCCGCTGTCCACATTGGCCGTCAGCTGCTCGGCATCGCGCAGGAGATCTTCAAAACTGTCCCCATCCATCTCTGCCTTTGTGTGGGAGTCAAGATCCTAGGGGAAAGCACAATAGGTGTGACCTTGCTGCCTGTAGTCATGTCACGAGAGATCACGAGAGGAAAGAAATCCGCCGAGTTCAGATCAATAGACGGACACTTTTATAGTTGTATGTGTAGTACGTTCATCTGGGAGTTTCGGCAACCCAAGGTCACAGCAAATTGAAAAGGAACCTTCCATCAAGTCCATATGCATGAAATGCTAACTTTTCAGATCCCCTTCCCCCCATACACACACGCATTCCACAATTCTGGAAGACGCTGCCAGTCTGTGTGATGAGTAATGATGTAGTTTACTTATAATGGGCATTGGCATGGAAGGATAGATGGTGGGGTGGAGGATACCGTGTTTGAATTTCGATGTACAAAAGCTGTCACCAAGGCACCCAAAATATGCATATTTTTTAATCGTATTTTTAAATTTTCTTGAAATTTTATTCTTCAAACTGATGCAGAGAAAGGGCCGACAATTAAACTAAACATTGTGAACATTTATACTTGTTGTAGGCCTGCTTAAACAATTCAGACTTTCGCACCTTTTCTTGAAATCGGCATGGCTTTGGACTAGCTCTACTGAGTGGAGTGTTAGTATTCCTCTTTCTCAAATTTGACCAATCCAGTCCAACATTGGAGTAATGCTCCACTCAGGAGAGCTAGTTTGGAACATAGTGCGAAGGTACACATGGTATATATATGGAGCGCAAGCAGACCCCACATTTCTGGGATAAATATTAAATAGGCCCTATTTTAAACAATTTGAGAACTACACAGTCGTTGTGTATAAAGTACCAGAATTTGTGTGATAAATAAAATTTTTTTTATGGTTTTCATAGAAAATGAATACAGAAAATTGCAATTTTGACAACTGTGTCGGAAACAGACGTAGTAACAATAGGCTCTGCCGCGGGCCAAATTAGTCGGCATGCATGTGGGACGGGGTCCCGACAGGCTAGATTATTATGAACAGTCAGCCTTTACAATAAGGCCTATTACCCCAAATACGGCATTGAAACTTTACACAATGAAAAACACATGTACAAATCTACAAAAAAGTTGTAATAAACACCGCTTACCAAAAAAATTCCCACAGCAAAACAACTACTGTTGTTTCGCTCGTACTTTACCGCGCACGTGGGTAGCGCCCTCACTAGTTTGAGGTTCATGCAAGATACACGCGACAGACGCCCCGGCCCCCGGGCTCCGGTCGAACTTCACTGTTTGTAGCTAGAATTACAATACATGCGGTAGCTCGGAAAAATGTACTTCTAAGGCTCATGACATGGACGAAATCCCCACCAACATGAATGCCGTGAGCCCTGTGTTTCAAAGTTCATCAGAGACTCCACTCATACACTAGCAGACAGGCTGGCTCACTAGTAATCACCATTTCACATCGCGTACTTTCCTGTAATACCATTCTTCAGTGACTCAAAATGCAGAGGAGGGTAGAAGATCTCTTTGAGGGATATTTACAGTTTTTATTTTGTCAACTTCAGAGTTCTGAAATAGAAGACTTAAAGCCACAAACCATACAATTTTAAAGGATACGCCTGTAAAGAGTGTGGATTTAAAAATTGCACCAAATTTTAATTGGGGAATTTCTTAAGTAAATGTATTCATACAATACTGTTACAAATTCATAATACTTGTAAGCCCTCAACACAAAGTTTCATGCACATGTTTGAAGATGAAAAGTGCCTTTCAATAGGAAGGGAATTCTAAATCCTTTCCACACAAGCACTTTAAAACAATTCCAAGAAATCTTGAGGGAAACTGCTCAAAGAATACATTTATAAAAACACAGGCAAATACAAGCCCATTTTTGAATATTTTGTAATTCTTTGACACCAACACTCAGATGTCGGAGAACTCTGAGCTGGCCAACCTAAAAAAGGTAATAATATTGCATTTACATTGAGAAACTACATGCATTAGTTTTTATACCAGTATAAAATGTAACATTAAAAACTGCTTTCAATGCTGCTTCAGTCGGAAAGTCAGCCGCCAGCCCTAAAAGTGTGAATATACGCAGATGAAAACATTTCTTATTTTTTACACTGCAAGCAAGGGATTATTCATTTCAAGTATAATACACCATGCTGAGACTTTACCTGCAGAAAAAAATAACAAATTGAAAACCTTTCAGACAATGCCTTCTTTTTTTCTTTAAAGTTCAATGCCCTCAGTTCATGGGGGAATAGTACTCATGTAAAAGTATGAATACAACATCATAGGCAACGGCTGGATTTGAACCCCTGACCTGCCAATCAAGAGTTGAAAGTGTTACCCACAAAGTCATGCTCCCTAATAAAATACCTTTAGTGGGCATAAGGGGGGGGTGGGCAGCATGTCCGATGCACACTCTGATCTCATTCTTGTTCCTGAGTGATTTTGATCAGGCATGACATCACCAAGGTGAAGCTATAAGCCAGGAACTCTCTGCATGACGTCACCACCTGCCTGGTTCCAATGTAGTGCCCATGTACATATACCCAACTGCAACTCATTGTGCTTTTTTCGGACACTTAAGAGCTTCTTGGGTTCGGACTCACTCTGCACCATTTTTCCTTCAATTGGAAACTATTTGGTGAAGAAAAACAGTATTGGAAAAAAAGCAGTTTCAATGGGAATCGAACTCGGGACCATAAGATCTATAGCCCAAGTCGCTATCTACTAGACTAATTGAGACAGCTTGCCGACAAGAATTCTTTCATTACTTTACGGTAGTGAAAAGACGTATGTCCGTCATGCCCGTGCTGTAAATGGGTTTTCTATGCACGCAAGAATTTTACATAGTGACACTGTGCACAGAGTGCCTGGCTTATAGCCTCACCCGACATCACCAAGGGATTCTGTCTGCAAGCACCCCCTCTATTGGTGACAAAGGGAGAGTGCAAATGCATGGACGCATCATAGTCCCTGGTGTCATGCACCTGACACATGGAAAGTGGGACAGGGTATGGGAAAGGTCCCCCACCTCCAAGAAAAGGTGAAAAAAATTATTGTTCTGTTTAAAGGAAGTGAAAAGCACCTCTTTGGAGAGGGGGAGAGGTAGGAGCTGTCCTTTTACAGATGAAAAACATTTGGATCACCATTTGAAAAAACCCATTCTCCCCTTCCATGTGGGATGGAAAACCCACATTTGCCACATCCAGACCAATATTTTCTCCACAGACTGAGTGCCTCAATTACAACAATTTGAATCTCTTACAAAAGTAGAACATTTTTACAGCTTTACTCATTAAGCGAACGATTAACTTCCTTCTCATCACTTTCCCTCATCCAGGAGAACTCTGATTCACAAAGACCGGTTTCGCCCTCACCCTATTCACAGCAGAGAAACATCTGACGTGAATATTACCTTGTGTCTTCAGCAAACCTGAACTCTCTTGGGGTGACTGGTTAATCAAAACAATCAACAGTGGGTTACAACAAGAGTGCTTGATTTATCAGGTTGCTCAAGCAGAAAGATAACATACTCGACTTTTTAGTTGTGGGGACCATAAATGATGTGCACTAGTTATTGTGAGGACCATGCATAATATACCTAAATGGTACATCAGTGAGCAAGTACTGCATTCAGCGTGTATGCACACTTATGGGCTAGGCCAATTAAAACACAGGGAAGCTAAAATCATAAATGGGCACAATGCACCAAAGATGACTTCGTCTCCGTCTCAGGTTTCATGTAGGAAGCCAATCCCTGATTGTGGGTCTGAAGCGTTTAACTTTCAAATTGAAGTACTGTAATGCTTGGCTCTTTTGCATCTTACTTGATGTTTGGTGGCACTATAAGACTATTGCGCTTACAACCTCAAAGTCAAGAAGTAAAAAAAAACAGTTGAAGCCTGAGACGGAGCCTAAGTCGAGTATTGGAAAACGACCCTGGTCTCCAGTCTACAGATCGGCTAGTTGCTACAGAGTCAATGAAATATTTCACCATGGCTACAATATGATTCACAAACAGGGGCTATCCATGTGTTGGTTGCTTTGCCCCTAATTGCAAGGGGTAGAGTCTCGCTTTCAGCGGGAATCGCCTGCCGGCGAGGTCAATCTCGTACCGGCCCTTGTGGACGAACTCCGGTGAGACCTCCGAGAGCCGGCCAGTGTCGGGGTCGTGATTGGTCAGCCAGCCTAGGCAGGTCATCTTGCGCTGAGTGGGGCCGTAACTGCTGCAGGTGGTCATTCCGGCCAGCTGGCCATCCCTGTAGATGGGCTCCCCGCCCCAGGGCCACAGGTCGGTGTTGATGTTGTGGTCTTCCATGATGAAGCCCACCAGACGACGCTGGACGCCCTCTTGCCGCTGTTTGAGGAGTGCTGATCGGCCAATGAACTCCACTCCCTTAATGTAATCAGACCACAAAATATGAACTTAACCACTTGCTGCCGGGTGGTTTGAAAAATGCAATGTACACATACGGGACATTTTCAAGATTTTCGGTTTTCAAATTCTTCAAAAATTCACCATTTCAATTAATGGATGTTTACACCCAAACGAATGACTGTCTGGTGGCTACTCTAATCTGACAGACAAAATCTAGTGAAGCCCGAGTATTTCAGCCAGGCCTGCAGCCTTGTAAATAAAGCCCAGATTGTGCAGTGCGCTGCTGACCTCTTTTCAATGGGGGCCAGGTTAGCATGCAGCAGTGCTGTGTGGCTCATCGCTGCGGTGGTGGAGCACTTTTGTCCCCGGTGGTAATCTGCTTGCACTAAATGCCCCAGACCGTGGTATACTGTTTCAAAACAAGGCTGGATTATCTCCACTTTTGAGAGTGAAAAAATGTCAGTAATGCCCAGCAGCCTGGTCTTTTGTTACGAGTACAGTCTTTTGTTACAAGTCCCAGTTCCCTTTGTCCGATTTCGGAGACCCCCGCCACGCATATAAACCATACGTGTCAAGATTGTAAAGAGGTCAGCAGTGCACTGAGCCAGGTTCGTGAACAAAAGAAAGTTATATAACACCACACAATCTGCGCTCTTTTACAAGGCTGCAGGCCTGGCTGAAATAATCAAGCGTCAATAGATTTTGTCTGTCAGGCTAGAGTGGACACCAGACAGTCCTTCACGTGTTTGTAAGTGTCAAGTAAAGGAAGATAGGAATTTTAAAGAATTTTGAAAACAGAAAAAAATGATAAATATCCTGGCCCAGCATCATCAACATTGATAACTGCCCCGGCAGGAAGTGGTTAATATGAGTACATTAAAGGCAATGTTATGTCTCATTGACAGGCATGAGTAACAACCTTGTACCTTCACCATCACTTGATTTGAACACTCAACTGCCCAAGGCAATAATCCATTATTTTCAGAATAAAAACCACGACATTCGAATCCCTCCCTAGCCATGTTCTGGTGCCTCACTTTGTCAAATTTGACCCTCATTTCTCGGCCGATCTCAAAGGGTGTGGAGGTGGAGTCAAAATCCTCTCCCCAGTAGAAGTAGAACTTCTCGATGCGCAGCCAGCGCAGGGCATAGTAGCCGGCGTTGCGGATGCCAAAGTCTTTGCCGGCCTCCCGTAAGGTGTCATACACTTGAACGGCTGACTGTGAATAGGGATGAAGCATTTGTGGTGCCTTGGGTCAAAAACCAACAACTGATTTCGAAATATCTGAGTCAATAAGTTAAAACTGGCACAATTTTGCAAAAGACAAAAAGTTCCTGTCATAAATGAAACCGTCCCTAAAATCCGGAAACTCAATATTCCAACAATATTTAAACCTACTTTAACCAGCGTCCAAGAGCAAAGTACCTACTTTTGGAAATTACGTCATAGATTTACTTGGTAACATTAAGCTTTCAATTCCATTAAGGTCACTTATACTTGTGGCTTAACGCTTTCAGTGGTACACGAAAGACATCACGAAAGAGAAAGAAAAACACCAAATAACAGAATACTACAGCAAGACTGACAGTAGGGAGACAAAGACAAGTGCAATCCCAAACCAGAAAAAAAGCCAGGTGACAGAACAGGCCCACATCTTTGGTTAATGAGACACCGCCATCATGAGATTAAAAATCAACGGACAGGTAAGGACAAGGCTGACAAAAAAAAATAATGGAAACTGAACCCCCCCAAGAAATGAGAAAGTAATCCATCATCTGTGGAAATGGACGATTCTGCTTCCATTCTGAGCCCAGCCTCAAACGGAGCCCAATCTAATCCCACAGACTCGGGCTTCGACAAACAACCTCAATAAGAAGATCAAACATTAAATATACTGCTCTCCCTACTTGCTAAACAAACCAAAACAGAATAAAATGGCTGCCCCAGTATAACACAAACATGTGCCCACTCTTGGCCCACAAACTTAATCTACAACCACATGCGAGTTCGTATAGACAGGCATACATACCATACAGCTATTTGTCCTGACTTTGAAATTCGAACTATTCAACTGTTTAATCGCTGGTGACCCTGAGTGCAGTGATCAACTTACTTCATTGGGTATGTACAGCACCATTCCATTCTCTCCAGCATGTGTGACAGTCATGGCTTTGACTCTGGTTGCATAGCCAATATTTAACTCCTGAAAAACAGGGAACATTTTTGAGAATGTACTACGAAATGTAATATGCAATAAGTCATTCCAAGAATGACAAGATACGACAGGTCAAATATTAGGTTTGGTTTCTGTTAACTCTACAAGCAGGCTGTGCAGAAAGACTTACTGAAACACTAGAAAAACAAAACAAAAATGGTTACTATTTTCTGATCACTCAAAAGTTCTTGTTTCCGCTATCACTCATGCTTTGACTACTTATATATTCAGCAATGAAACCGCAATGCTAATGCGCGTGTCTGGTCTTGTGACTGTCTTGACTACAATGCCGCCTCAACGGTAAGAGCTATGGAGCCACTGACCTTGCAGGAAAATGGCTTGAAATCGGTCGTGCTGAGGGATGTGGTGGTCAGCTTCTGAAGCACCTCTCTGGCCTTGGGCCCCACCACATTCAGGCCGGCATACTGGTTGGTCAGGTCTCGCAGGGTGACCGAGCCGTCTGCAGGGAGGTGGTTGGCAATCCACTGATGACCCCTGACCAGCAGAACCGTTGGGCATATTATGAAATATCTGTAAGCAAGAGAAAGGGATTCATGCTAATGAAGATTTCCACATACATGGCCCGACGTGAATTTTATGCAGACATTTGAATTGTGGCTAATGTCAACACAATGTTAATATTTCACTTTGGCTAATCCCAGAAATAGAATAAGACACCTTTAATACTAAGGTTACACCAAGCTTGAGATCAGGGGGGTACACACATGTGAAATATCCCCTCCACCAATCAGGTCCTGTGAGAAATTATCTCTATGTACATCTATGCTATTAGAGACTGTGATCCAACAAAGCTCTGACTTTTCCAAAACTGACGACATGTGGAGAATGAATGGATCCCATCTTTCATTTCTGGATGATCTATATTGTATAAACACGAACGAGTGTTCAGCAATCTGAACCAATGTCATTTTGGCAGTGGCCTTCAGACTGAAATCATCATTTTTCAATCACAATAGTATCAAAAACAAACAAGAAGTACTTTGCACTTCCAGACAATATCTCGCTGAAAAGAAACAAAGACACTACTGATGGTGACACCATGAGCTGAATTCCCGGCTGATCAGAGATTTGTCGTAAACCTTCCAAGGGACTACATGTGCTTGACCAGTATATATTCCTTTGAGACTGGCTCAGAAGAACGGGCGTTGATAATGGATCGAGCCAAGTCCATTTATAAATTCAGAAAATAAAAAAAGTCAAATGTAGAATCCAACACTTTTGTTCAGCAATTTTACTTCATTCTTTTCAAGCACCCCTCTAGCCATGTATGGTACATGTATATGCCTCTCGTGAGTATTCACAAACAATCTCCTTATGTTCAGATTGGCGCATGCATGGTGCATATTGTGCGAGGTGGCCCAGAGCAGTATGAGCCTGAGTACCATGAATTTGGAACTCTCTCTCTCAAAAAAAAAAAACCTCACAGACTTGCTGGTAGAACTTTCGACCAATATATGGGAAAAAGGATCAGATTTCATGGGAGTCTAAATTTCACGTGACACCAGAAAAGCGTTTAAGATCAACCAGCCAGTGCTTTACCAACCATTCAGGATCGGCCATGTGATGGGATCTCAACAAATAGGAACGTCTGAATTGTCTGATTTTTGAAGTAGTAGAAAAATTGTACCTACACCTGCTTAATAATTCTTAATACTTAATTACTAATGATAATTTCAGTGCAGCATTATCACGAAAACCTTCACCTGTTTCTTTTATCTATTCACGGAGACCAGTCGGGGTCTGTTGGCCAAAGCTTCACTTTCTGCCACTTCACCTTGAAAGGGCAAACAGTGTTTTGTGCTAAAATGCCTGCAAATTGACAATGAGCAGTGTGTCTGACTGTCTCTGGGGGAGGACAACCAAAGGTTTGCAGTGAAAGATGATGCCTGTCGACATAGAACTCATGTCATGCAACCATGCCGTTTCTGATTCAAAGTGGAATCAAGTTACAATCGGGAAGCAATCTCGTTTTAATGAATACAAGAGTCTTCGTGATCAGTACGGTACATGTGAGTGTACATTTCTTTTACGTAATCTGTCCTTCTGATGTTTCACCCATGGACCAATCTCATTAGTATTCTAGGATTTAAGTACTCCATCAATTATTCAAGATGATTGTAACTTAAGAAAAGATACAGGGCACTTTGAGTTGTAGGGATAAGGGAGGGCAAACGAGCAAATGGGGTGGAGAGGGCTGGGATAGGGTGAGTTGGGGGTAAGCAGGGGATCGTTGGGAGGCATGGCTATCCTGTAGGGTTAATAATCAAGTGTGGGACCAAACCACAATCCAGTGACGACGTCAGTCTGTGCATACGCTGCTCGATTGTGCAACCATGAAGTAATTTTTGAACTATTTTTAGAGTTCGGTTCGCGGTTCACAGATGACATCGATCTCTTTCTTGACCAAAAACTTCAATACAAACTGCTCTGATTGATTAAATTTACTGGAAACATGCTACCCCAGATCTACATGAAACTTTCCTTTCATTTGGTATCTCTAAAAGTGGATCGAGGAGATTTTTCGGTTGAATCTTGCACTGGATGTGATGAATTCGGTGGGCAGGCGAATCTAATTCTGCCTTTTCCAATTTCCTGCCACAAAGGTGGATTTCTTTCCCAAATGAAATGTATACAAATAACCAGGTGCTACTGATTTGGATTCACCTTGCAAAGGAGGTCCTGCAGGTCCTCTCTAATTGAACTTTGAGTTTGGTCGAGATACATGCTATCTGAACAAATATATTGCTAGGAGGCTTTTCCATCTCTAGGCAAAAATTGAACTTTCATTGAATTCATGTAGATTTTAGTTATGGGAATTTATTTGTAGTGAGTGCACCCTTAGACACTCGCTATATCTGCCTTGACTCGATCGAGACAAACCTAGTATTGTACTTGAGCTTAGTAACAGGGGTGAGACTGGAAGAAATTGAAATATCTACAAAATAACCCCCACAGGTTTTGAGGGACCCACAGCAGCAAAGTGTCTCTGGTATACATTTGTGTTTGCCTGAAGACGCCCCTTAAAGACCAACGCCAGCTGTTTTAAAAGTGTTGAAAATTAACTCTTATTGCGTTAAGTGTTTAATAAATCATATATTCATTACCAAATCATGTCATAATTTAATCATCATAATTTTGCTGACACTTTTGAACGTTGTCTTTGAGTTTTATGAAAAATTTCCACAATCTGACCGCTGGTAGCGCTGTTGAGAAACGAAATTTGTATGATGTAATACTAGAGAAAACATTGAAACTGGTATCCGTGGCACGACTGGTTCCGCTACAAACGTACATATACTGTACATTAAAATGGATTTCTACTGTGCACATTTTCTCTTTTCAGTCGAGAGTTTGTGCTCCTTTCTTCATGACTTACAATAATGCCCAAATCGTGCGTCTTGGTGGACGTACTAGAAATTCTGAGAAAATCTAGGATTGAAATTCCTCGAGTTTCTGAAGAATAAGAGTATTCTTCAAGTTCGTGCTATTATCCGCAGCTATGCGTGCTATGGATGCATACAGCGCGCGTACTGTGGTATTTCCTCTCCACGGTAATACATCACAGAAATCAATATTCATTAGATGCTAATGAGTCATGACATCACGCTCCTTTTCATGAAAGCGGATCAACTCTGAAGATGTAGCTTATACAAGTGTGCTTCTTGTCCTTGTCACAAACCTGGGAATTTTTTTTGGGGGGGTGCTCAAATAATCCATGACTGCAGGGACTGGTTTATTGAGAAATAATCCCAATGTTGAGGGGATAAGGGCACGAGTTACATGTGGGCAAAGATTTTGTAGAAGAGCTGCGACATTCCTCTAATCGATGTGAATAAATACACGAGACCCACACACTCCGACTTCAAGATAAGGGTTATTCCATGAGGTTGGAGCACAATTTGTGACAGTGTCCATTGTTACATGGATTCCGTAAACCCTGCACGTGGATTCCTGACTGACATTGTTATTCACAGGCGGAATACAGAGGTGTGTGTTATTCTGATAGAGTAAACGACCTACTCTACAGGTCATGACAGGTGGTCTGTTTGCAAGGGCGAGATCACTGCCTGGGACAATTGGCTCCCTCTATCGTTCACGTACGGAGGTCACACAGTAGGAATAATACTGTGGGCTATTAGGGGTCAGGCACTTTTAGCATTGCCTCACTCACCGATTGGTATCAAGGCGAGCGATGCTGCAGTCGCTCTCGTATCCACCTCTCTCATTCAGCATTCCTGTGTGCACCACGCTACCGACGGGACAGTCTAAATCATTAGGGCAGAGACGCTGCAGGAGCATAGTAGCCTCATTTCCAGTGGACTATAAATCCAAACAATTTCAACAGAAAAAAAGGTTCAGAATGCATCCCCTTTAGCCCTAAAAGAGGCGGGCATCTATATCACAATCTATTTTTTTCCCAGATATCACTCACTCTTTGGTTTTCCAGCTCTCCTCTCAACATGCTTCATTTGTGAACGTGCCATGTTGAGTGCTGCAAAATGTTATTATTTTCTTTAATCTTCACATGAATAAGAGTCCTTTCCCATAACAAGGAATGACTAAGCAAAGCTGAAAATAGAGGAATACTTTATATTCAGTTTCATTAAAATTTAGCAGTAGTATTCCATCCTTGGAAATAGTAGTATTGTTACATATAACAGGTTTTGCCCTTACCCAACGTATGGTAGTATTGTTGATGGATGTCCTTATATTTACATGCAAACCAAGTCTCAACAAAATGTAAACACATGGTCAAGATCTAAAAGGGCAGAGGTAAACATTTGCTTTCTTTGCCTAAGGGACGGATAAAGGGAAGTTGTCAATCTGACGATTTCAGACGTTGAATGCTGCAGTAACTTTAACATCTTGGCGCCGGGATTCTATTGACCATGACTGCTGGGCTGTGGTATGCCCTGAATGGAGGGCTTTGTCCATCAGCAGGTCCCATTTAACCAGCAACTGCATGGTGAATAGACTGTATGTGTGGTATGCACTAATCCTCACACAAAGCTGGGGCTCTTGCCGTCTCCCGTCATGAAAGGGTTAACGGATTACAGAGTTGGTGCTAAGTTGAACTGAATGTATCATCAAAACAAACAAAACAGCCAACCTTGATATAAGGTTGTTCTGATGTAGAGATGATACACGACAACAAGGATGACTGCTTACAGTAAGTTCCAGCTTGGTGAAGGCTGACATGTCCATGAGGCACACAGATTCCCGGCAGGCCCAGTACTCGGCCTCCACCAGGTCAAACCAAAGGGGCTTGCCAAACATACCCCGCTGAGTCTCCAGGGCCAACTCATCTGCCAGTGACAGGGAGGGTAAGAGAACTTAAACAGAGGGCAGTTGTCGGAGGATCAGGCAGGCGTAGGTTGCCATCTGGAGGCCGTTAACCATATGCTGCCGGGGAGCCTGGTTTCGGGTACATTTTCTTTATAAGCACAGTCAGGGAGCCCGAAGTCGGACAAAGAGCTGGGCCTTGTAACGAAAGACCGTAGTCAGAACAAAAAATCGAGCTGCTGGGAATTGCCGACAATTTTTCAGTTGTCAATAGCGAAGGAAATCTGTCATTGTTTTGAATGATTATACCACTGTTTGTGGCATTCAGCATGAGCAGATTACCATCCGGGACAAAAGCATTCCAGTGATGAGCTATACAATACCGCTGCATGCTAATCTGGCCCCATTGAAAAGACGGCAGAAGTGCACTGTGCCAGTTTTGGGAATAAAAGAAAATTACATAACACTGCACAATCTGGGCTCTTTTTACAAGGCAGCAGGCCTGGCTGAAATACTTGGGCATCAATAGATGTTGTTTGTCAGATTAGAGAAGCTACCAGACAGTCCTTCTTGTGGGTGTAAACGCCGAGTAAATGAAGTTATGATTTCTTGAAGAATTTTGAAAATGGGAAATTTTAAAAATCCCCTGGTTTTACGTGATGCAACTTCAAATTACACCCGCCAGCAAGTGGTTAACACGTAAAGGCCATGTTAATGCAGTCTGGTAATTGGTATGCCTGGCTTTTGGCTAATGGTTTGAATAGTTGCCCTTTCCCTAAGACTCTAACATTGGACTTGCTTAAATTCAAACAAGTGACCGTTAAAGTTAGTTATTCATTTGTGCATTAGACATTCAATGCCATCATTGTTTACATGCAGTCAGTTCTTACCCTAAACTGATCCCCGAATGCTTAATTTAATCAGATGGTTCATTTCAAACAAAAAGCCTTCCCATTTGCCAAACGAATTTGTGCCAAAGGTTTCATGATAACGAACGGTTAAAACTAAAACTCTGGCTGTCAGTGTCTTACAAAAATAAACATCTCTTTCCCTATTTCACATGTAGTAATTTCTCTCTGTTTTCCACATCAACAAGAGTCACTGATTTAGATGGCAACCCTTCTATACCTGTATCATCAGGAGCCATGAACCACTTGGGTCGTTCCACCCCCATCCGTTCGCCAAACACTGCCCCGTCTTGCGCCAGCCTGGAGTAGAGGGGCGGGCAGCGCAGTTTACGCCCCGTCCTGTAAGAGGTGGCCGGGTAAAGCACGCGATAATGAACACCTAGGATTAGAAAGGCAATTGGCTCAGCATGAAAAGGGAGAGTGGGAATACTGGATGACAGAGAAGACCAGGGCTCTCTTTTATTTGACCAACATGAGTTAGATGAACAATGAAGACAATTATTTTATCCTACTTCTTCTGTATCTTACAAAAGCAAGGGCGGAAGCTGGAGAATTATGCAGGAATTACTGACGGTGAAGTGTAGCCAACACGCTAGTGAAGTGAAGTCAAGTACAAAGAAAACTGCTGTTGGTTTTCTAACTTGCCTGAATTGTGGTGGATTTGAGATGATTAAGCCAAGCTCCAAGACAAGGTATTGTAGGCGTCAATCCCAACCCTGCCCGATGCAGCAAGTGTCACAATTGGAAAAGTCCAGTGCACACTGCTGCACCAGAATGAAGAGCCCATGTTGAGAGGACTGGGAGCTGGTCCCATCTGCTCCGAGTGGAACAAAAGAGGGTGTGCCTTTTTTTGGTACTCACCGCACAGGCACGCCATGTGGCGCGCAAGTATTGGCGCGCGTTTGACGCAGAGCACGCTGGGTACGCGTAACTAATTTATTCCGGCATGTATGGTCTTTGCGTACATGCAGAACGCATGCCAGAACCAGCTTGTAATCACCTGTCTTTCTTTTCGCCGATTGGGGGCACACTTCAGCTCGGGACGGATTGAACAATGACACTATTGGATCCTGTGGCGGCTGGCAACCTCAGTCAATGAGACCGTTTGTCCTTGGGAATAGTTGACCCGCTGAGTCCTGCAACACTCTCCGGGCAATTAACTTTGACAAATGATGCAAACTCACGTAGTCTGGTCGAGTTTAGCAAAGACAAACTGGTGGCTTGGGCTTGCAATTCAAGCTTGATCAGTATTTTATGATAAGAAAGAATAAGTGGGCATTTGGAATACCCAGGAGTTGAATATTTACTTTCTATTTCTTTCACCCTGGCTCGAAGGAACTCCTTGCTGTTGTGGTAAGGGCTGAAGCGTCGTACGTCCACCGGCCAGTAGTGCATGGAAGTGTACCCATCCACCATCAGCCCGGCAAGGAGTTGTCCAGCACCTCCAGCGTATGCAAGACCCAGAGAGCTGAAGCCAGCCAATATGTAGTAATTCCTAACCTGAAAGAAATGGGGTTTTTTTGAGGGGGGGAGGTAATGATTTCAAATTTTGGAAAAGGGATTAACTCTTTTTGAAAAATAAATACTGCATGCCCACAGCACGGAAAACATTTACATTTTATATCTTCACAGCCTGTTATTCCTATAACTACATTCCCTCTCAACACTTTCACACCGTCACTTCTTCTGTATCACCGTCTCTGACATGTCTGTTGTCCTCACTTTACCACTATTACCACTATCGTCACCCCATCGGAGTCTCGTCTAGCCATCAGCCCACCTGTCCTGAGCCAGCGAAAATAGTATTTGACAGGCAGTTTTTGCATGCACAATTCCGTCTCTATTACATAAATCTTAATTTGAAAAATTCATTGGAAGCAGAGAGGTAGTTTTTATCCTTTGTAGGGAAAGGAAAGGCTGATGTCATAATTCAAGAAGAAACCCTACATTCAACTCAAATGCCACCAACAACATCTTCACTATCACCACCGTAACCCCGGTTGCATCTTCAAATCTGCCATCCTCACCTTTATCAGTATCAACCTCCTTCAATACATTTCTATCACAACTGTGATCTCACCACAATCAACTTCGCCACCTCTGCGACTATCGACATCCCTCACCTCAACCTACACATCACCATCATCACTACTCGTGTCACCACTGCGGCACCTGCAGAACCCTTACCTCTGGCGCTTCCCCCATGATGAACTCACCGTCCGGAGTAAAACCCTCAGGATAGTTGGACAGCTTCTCAAACTGCACATTGGCAGCCAGGGGCACTCGGTGTAAGAAACCCTCCAACAAGTGACCTGGACGAGGGTAAATATCCCGTAACTACATGAACATGTGCCGATGGCATTATTTTGGGCCAAAAATTTCACTTTTCGAAAAAAGCCACGATACATGTATATCTCCACCTTTCGACATTCATGCTGACACACAGCATACACTTTGATAATCAATGTCATTTACACAGTATTTCTTAGTATGACCTCCTGTTTTCAATAATCTGGGGTGAAACCTCGGACCAACATTTGCAGCCACGACAGGCAATAAACAGCAACTAAGTTCAAGATCAACACATAATCTGCCTTGACAGACTTCTAGGATTTAGAACGCGAGTATAAAATGCACTGGGAATTAGCTTGTTCGAGCATTAGCCGGACGTATCAAGTCAAAGTATGTTTGAAGTTTTAACATGTCAGACGTGCCCCAAGTTGTGTTCGTGTATCCTCTGGTGCAAATTGGTTTAAATGCGGGTCCCACTGCAGAAGCTTTCAAGCTGAAGAGTTCACTTGGCAGTTTCCTGCGATAACGCAACATCCACAGAGAAGCATTCAAAGGCGAGACACACAGCATAACACTGAGTCTGGCAGCTTGGGCTCACCAACCCAGGATGTAAAGATGAAAAGACCACACTGCAGTCTTAAGGCACCTTTCCATATGCCTGTCAACACTTGCGCCAAGCGTGGATCCGTCAAAATTGCTCCTGGACGATTTTGACGCCTGAACGCAATGCAAACGCGTGTTATATCAATGGAGTTGATTTTCGTGTCCATGAAAGTGAAGTACACGAACGTATCGTATACACAATGCACCTAAAAAACTAACATACGGAGAGGAGCCTTTATACTGCCAATTTGACAGGGTTCACTTTTAGACATTCATCATAAAACCACTCAGTGTATCAAGAACAAGGGTAAATTCGTGGTCCAATCGATTGGTACTTCATTCTGTTTTGCATGCCAATGGAACAGAACAAAAAGTCTACGTGCGAGGGCCAGGATTAACCCTAACCCTCCTCAGTCCTCCAACAGGTGAAGGATTGAGGAGGGTTAGGGTTAATGAAGGAGACAACTCTGACCACACAATAAAATTAACCTCAAATCAATTCGAGGTCAGGTCTACAAGCTTTGTACCGTTATCTGAAAGACTCCACCCGTCTGTGAGGCAAGCAGCAGCGATTCCTAAAACTGAATTTTCTAATCAGTGAAGCAAAAGAACAGATAGCAATCTCAAGGACCGTTTTGTGAAATTACTATCACCAAACTGCTGAAAAGGGATCAACTCACGAAAGTGATCCCAGTCATCGGGTAACTGGATGTTGCCAGGGTCTTTTTGGAGTGGCACCACCTCGTCAAAGATAGGCTTGCCCTTGGGTGCATACCCGCCGAACAAAAAGCCCCCGTTGTGTTCCTGAATGTACAGGAGGCTCTCTGTGTCCCGTATGTCTGAGCAAAAACAACAAGAAGAAAACTTATTCTTAAGATTAATTCAGAGTCACCCAAACATTCTCTCACAGTCTGTCCCTGTGCATTTTGCTTCGGACCTTTCAGAATTCTAAAAAATCAACGTTTTTGAAACACGAAGACAGCCATTGTCTTATGTTCTCCACAAAACATTAAATTGGCATCAATCAAAGTGGACAGTAACCATGGTAACAGTGACTGTGTTCTACCTTTCTCACTTGTGCTGCATGTCACACTTTTTGCAATTTGAGATGGATCAAACAACTACAGAGACCCACTAAACACCATACGACATAGGTACTATCCGGCTATACTATCTTACCGTGTGACTCCTTACAAATGTGCCAAGGGTCACAAACATCCCCTACCTTCATGGAAAATCCTCAGAACACCTGGTCAGGGTTGCTATCGAGTCAACCCGTGTTTATCGTAAGCAGTCATGAATCATCCGAGTCGAGTTTCGAGTTATTCACGAGAACTGTGACTGACACTTCCTGTCACTCTTCAGCCGTCTTATTTTAACACTACACTTTGACCTGACTGGCACCTTGACTTATGTGATTTGATCTGTGAATGTTTAGCTTACAATTCCATCTGGTGTTCCAGTGCTTCTTGAGGTAGCCAGAAGACCCTCCTCAAGCCAACAGTGAGGTCAAAATTGTCTTCTGCTCAACCCTCAACCCGACAATATTCAACTGGAACTTTCCACAGTTGGATCATGCAAGAATCGGCAGGTCAAGAGTTCAAAGACCTACTCACAAGGGCCTTGAGCATCCAAAGACAGATTTTTAATTGGCTTGGTGGTGAGGTACTGCTGGGCCACTGGGTAGACTGGTACCCTGACCTCTGGTGAGCTGGCAAGTCCGATGTTATAGGCCCACTGCGAAATCAATACACGAATGCCAGTTAGTGATCAAATAACCGAATGCCTCAATAATCGGCACGACCGAATAGAGTCATGGTTACCATTCCGAGCTCAAAATTAATGACACCTAGGCCTGCTAGGGCAGCTAAAGAATCTGAAAGTGTGCTCTTGGCAGTTTGATGATTTTCTACACGTTGAGTTTCATTCTCTAATTTGCCAGAAATCAGGGGTCTTCATACGATATGGTATGGGATAACTACATGTACATACCAGGCCGGCACAGTTGACAAACGCCTCACAGTCAATGGTTCCCCTGTCTGTCTCTACACTGGAGACACTGCCCTCATCAGTCATTATTCCCTTGACTACAACATTCTCTAGGAGCGTGACACCTGTTAGCATGAAGATGGCACATTAAAATATTTCTGAGGAACAATCCCAACAACTGTCCACTGACTACTAGAGTGCCAACTTGGTAATCTTGAAAACAGACTCTCTAGAGGCTGTCAAGCATGGCCAAGAATAGATTAAGCACACCTTGCACGTTTAAATGAAATTGGTACATTTGAAACACCTTGCTGAAGGACAGGACTTTGCACTTCTGAATCTATCAAAATCAAGCCAAGCCAGGTGTGACAATTTGGTGGATTACGTGGGAAAGTATGGTCAAGAAATGATTACCCCTGAGTCCCATTATGTACTTAGCCCCTATTAAACTTCCTTGGCTTTTTTCCAAGTCAAACCTTCCTGAATCCTCCTACATACATGTACCAGCACTGAGCACATGCTTAGTACCTGTACCTCAACTTCCAATGTTCATCAAGTCCCATGTAAAGTAGAAATACATGCAGCTGGACTCTACTTCCCTCATCCCGCAACACCATTCAAAACCTCTGGGTGGATCTTGAAGGATGTGGGAGTGTTAGATTAAAACTGAATTCCATTTTTGCCCATCCACTGGTTGGGTGACCTGGGGTGTGTTTATAATCTTACCCCTACTGGCTATAGCCTTTGCCAGAGCACGGGTGACATCCATGGACCGTACACGCGCATCGTCCTTTACGAACAACCCTCCTTCCGCATCATCTACCCGTATCCATGGCAACACTCTGCTGATATCCCTGATGCTGAGGAGCTCGCTGTCAATTCCCCAAGCACTGTAGGACAGAAGCACAAGATGCAAGAGCCTGGTGTCAATGTGGTGCTACTTTCTGGTATCTGCATCTGTCCCAACTCTGCTCCTCCCCCCCACGAGAACTCGGATGTCCCATGTCAAGAAACTCATTATCAGTACAAATGTGAGGTTTCAACTCAATGCAACTCAGGAGGGGGTGAATTTCCCCCCCCTCCTGCTTTGGGTTAACCCTTCTCAGCAGAACATCAGTTGTTTAGGCAAGATATCTTCACATATTCATCTTTTTACGTTCTTAAACTCCCCAGTTATTTGACGCAGAATTGAGCATCAAACGCAGGTTCAAACATCTCAAACTCACCTGGACGTGGGTTGAATTGCTATTGTGGGAATTTTTCAAGACATTGATTGATCTCAGTCCATATGCCTTTTCAGCCCAGTGCTACCGTCTGAATTGGGCTTAACGGATAACTCAATTCAGCCCAGTACTACCGTCTGAATTGGGCTTAACGGATAACTCAATTCAGCCCAGTACTACCGTCTGAATTGGGCTTAACGGATAACTCACCATACGCATATCTTGTTTGAGGGGTTATGCACCTGTCAATTGTAATCCTGGCCCAGGGGGACCCGGGACAGGGGGGACTTAGCTGGGAAGATAAAATAGGGCCAGCGTGATAGTCCCGGCCAAGTCCCCGTTATTTGTCCGGTCAGAGCGGGGCACCCTTTTTTGTATTCCCCAACTGATCCCCGGCCCCAGCATGCTGGGCATCATTGTGGTAACCCCCGCGCAATCCTGGGCCTGGCGTGCCGGGTGTTGTGACCAATCCCCGCACCGTCCCTGCCCCAGCATGCGGGGTTGTGATGCAACAACCGTACAACTAAAAATAAATAAGTAATAACTTTCATTAATTTCTAAAAGTCCCCTACTCTTCTGGGTCATTGCTAAGATGACACCGAGTCGGTCGCCGAAAGTGCAGGTAAAATACCACCAAAATAAAGCAAAGCAAGGGGCAGCTGCTATAATTATAAACATTCGTTCGCATATCTGAAGCATCGGAATCAGGGGGCCGATGACCTAAATCGCTACACGCTTTCTTTGCAGACGTCTCAGAAATAATTATGGAAATTCATCCAATACCAAAATTTGTTACGCGTTGTGTGGAGATCAATTGACCAATTGAAACACTCATTATGTACATGTGGCCATGGCCAGTGCCAGCCCGTGAGAAACTATCAATTATCACAACACTTCATTCGTTTATTGAAGATTGATCAAGATAACCAATGATTTGAAATGTATCGCCAAAAGACACGTGACCAGTGCTACTTGGTTGAAAGATTAAATTACCATGTTTTAACCATTTAGCAGTCCATAGAAAGTGGCGGCAATGTTTGTAAAAAAAAAAAGGTCTGTATTTTGCTCGACTGATCCCAAAATGAGGCTTCATCTTTGTCAGGCTTTCCTCTGTCGGGGTAGGGGAAACACTTTGTATTTCATATCGAAGCTCAGCGCTATAAAATTTTACCGATAGGCCAGACGGTGTAACAAATTATACAACCCCGGCCAAGTCCCTGCTATCGTCCCGGGTCAGCGGGGCAGCCATTGTACAACCCTGGCCAAGTCCCCGCTATCGTCCCGGCCGGCTGGACACCTTTTTTTTGGACATCCCCGGGTACGTCCCTGTTACATTTTTGAAAGTCCCGGGTCCCCCGGGGCCGGGATTACAATTGACAGGTGCATTATGAATTGAATCTTTAGGCAATCATCTAATCAAACTCACTGCGCATTTGCATGCTTCTTCCTCAGTTCCACCATGACATCTTTGGTCTGTCCTATATACACGCTTCCACAACGGCGTAGACCTACATGCATGAGAGTAGAAACTATGCACCATGTAAGCACCTGCTTCACAATGTGACAAACAAAACTTTTCATGACATCGATCTTGATAACATGAGAAACACTTGGCAAATGCATTACGACCATGTTCTTCTTTTATTTGAGGGGATAATGTGCAGGAAAATGTTACGCTAAACTTCCAGTGTTTTTACTTCTAAACTTTTCGGAAGCATCTCCAAAAAATCAAATGACAGAAAACTACAGAGGCTGTTGAATGCCAGGAACATGCAACAGTTCAACAGTAAGCTGTTGACAGTCAGATCTAAAAGACGATAAAGACTGCTGTTGCCTCTTGTCGTATTCTTCCTACACGGAACTAGGGCAATTACCGGTCTGGATTCCTGTCTCATCCTCGAGTTGACTATACAAATCATAGCTCATCCTGCTCAGTCGGGTGGTAAAATGGGACCTCCTCAGTAATCCCAGAAGGCCTGTGGCACTCCATGTTGTACCACTTGCCAATCTATGGTAACATTCACACAAAAATACATCCCTAATGACTACTACATATCAGGAAACAAGACTCCCTCATCCAACAAATTTGATTGGTTTTGCTTGCAAATAAAGAGCCAATTCAGGAAATGAGATTCCCTCATCCAACAAATTTGATTGGTTTTGCTTCCAAATAAAGAGCCAATCCTGAATCCTCAGAGCGCATGCCCAAAATGAAGTGCATCTGAGCTCACGCAGGAACAGCAGTACGCAACCTCTGACCTCTCAAAGTGGCCATATGCTAATTTGCACACGTGCTTCTTCTCAATTGACTTTGCCTTTTATGAAATACTTAATAACCTACTTATTTACTGATAGCTTCCGAGGAAAAAAAAAGGATAAAATCTCTCTCAATGGGTATACGTTTTAATAATTCTATTTTGGAGCATGGGATTCAAAGAATGATTCTGGGCAAGAAAGCAAAGACGCCACAAGTCTAACTTGTAAGTCATAATACACATTTTGGTGATGTCTATCATGTCAACCAATTGTGTTATATTTGGAACCATATTTGAAATTCTAACTCACGTTCCTTGCTCCAGTAGCACTATGTCCTTCCATCCCAGCTTTGAAAGGTGGTACGCAACGGACAAGCCTGCAATCCCTCCGCCACATACTACGACACGAGCCCGCTGCGGCAGGGCAGGGGTGGTGCTCTCAGCATCCTGTGAGAACGCACAGCGGCAGCACCCAGGATGAGGGTGTCGCAATCCAGGCTGAACAACGTCCTTCAGGATGCGGCAGGCCCATGGCGCTGAAACTCTCAACATGACGAGTCCGGCATTCTAACTACCATCTGAAAAAAGAAAAGTCCGCGCACATTGTAAACTTTCAACCATTTTAACATGAATTGAAACCCAGTAAAAATGGATGAATGAATGTTCTGAAAGCCAATGGAGTTATCCCAAAAATACATGTACATGTATGTTAAAATCTTAAACAGTGTAACAATCTGAACAAAATGACTGCTTTGGAACTTGGATAAATTTCATCTTATTTTATGAGTGGGAATGCCAACATAAGTATATCAACTTGATGGAATTCATGAAACTATCCCTAAGGATGGAGCGGTAGCCCGAGTCCATGCCACGCTAGCATGACTAGTGAGTGGGGCTACTGCTTTACTAGCCTACTTCGAGAACTCAGAGTCACTACTCCGTGATGGAGTAGGGTGACTTCTCGAAGTAGGCCTAGGCCTACTGCTTTGCTGCTCTAACTACATAAAGCATAGACAACAATTGCACCAACCGTGCACCAACATGACCTATCTATTTTTTACGGGTCCGGAAACTGGACATCAAAAACCGGGTTAAACAATGTTGAACTTGAAGAAAGTTTCTAGAAATTACACCTTCAAACACTCGTAGGCTACTAACGTCATTTCTGTAGTCACTAATACTTACTTGTCAAATGTCAATTTACGTTTCCTTTGATGCTTGTTCATGTTGCTCACTTTCAACTAGGATTACCGGACCCGCCTCCGCGGGCCGCCGAATACAGTCACTGACATGACATTGTGCACAGAATGGTGCAACCAGACTAGTTCACAGCAGTAAGCGTTCACCGTTTAGTGTATTTGGTAACAAGACATTATTTAAGTTCGACCGAAGAAGGGGGGGGGGTGACATCATCTTGACTTTCCAAAAAGTTTCGAGCTGCAGTTCCTTGCTTCATTAGACGAATGATATTAGCAAAAGTGATTTCAACCAAACCAACTACACAGCAATTTTGATTAGTCAACGTTCTGTCCTATTTTTTGTTTGTTTTTGTTTAGAATGAAAACATCAAAATTATCAAGTGCTCCACAGTGAATATTAATTCGCAATACCCAACAAAACCTAGTCTATCATAAACGGGGCTGTGAATCCCGTTATTTCTATCATAAATTTAGTGACATTTAAAAAAACAAAAAGATGAGGTGTTTCTTTTTTTTTAATCAAAGTGATGATATTAAGTGTCTTAAATGGAGGTTGTTTTGTATGAACAGAGCTGTTTTGTTCCGGCATACATGCTTTCAGTGACGACAGACACAGTTGTGCTGAGCAAATTACTTGTTTTTCATTGTTAAAGTTTTGTGTGAGAGAGATTTCTCATATGTGACCGGCTCTAGAAAAATGGGTAATAAGTCGACAGATTCAGGTTATGAGTTTTTGATATGACTGGATTCATCACATCACATGCTACATGAATGACCACTGTAGTGCACTGCGTTACGGTGTGGTGTAAAGACATTTCAATATCCACATTTTCAGATTCAATAAAAGCGCTTTTCAAGCAAAAGCTCATAAAGTGTAGGGTTTGGAAACACAATGCTATACAGGATTTCCTACTGAATGATCCATTTTTCATCTTTACTCATTGGTATCCATGTTTGTAGTCACAAATTCTGAAAATGTAAATATCATAAAATATCATAGGAGCATTAAAGGAAAAAAAAAACAAAATCACATTTTCGAAGAAATTTTTCCCTCTCTAAATAAAATAGGCCATAACATGTTTTGATATTGCACGACTCATTACCCTTTTTTGGAGAGCGGTTAACATATGGGTGTCAAAATGTGAAGATAACCTGAAATTGAGTCTAAAAATTAGTGTGTGCTCCACACGGATGTCCTAAAAACTTAAAATTTTTACAACATCCGTGGTGCATAAGAGCTGGAAGCCCCAATGATGATGGGCTACTAGCCTGCATATCTGGTCACAATATGGGTGATTCACAATAGTGCTCGCCAAGAGTTTGCAACGCGTTGGCCAATCACAACACATGAAATCTGTTGACCCTTTCCAAATGGGCACTGGGTCAACAGATTGGCCAGCACATTGCAAACTCTTGGAGGCGCACTATTGTGAATCTCCCGTATTTTGTACCTTCATTACAGCCATGAAATTGAAAAGGAAGAATATGTCTCACTTCAAAATTGAACACTTAGAAAGGAAACTATTCGTGTCTTTCTTCCACAAAGAGAATGTGCTTTCAAAGCATCTGCTTTCCACATCTGAATTATTTTCTGTGTAAAATGGAACACTAATTTCTTTGCTATGGAAAATGATTATTGTTGATTTTGTAAAACTTCCCATAATATCCGGCTTTATGAGTCATCTCGCTATTTTTTTGCGGCTGTTCAAAAATCGAAATCTCACGTGTTTTTTCGTGTGTTCTCGTAAAACCGCTACGAGGAGGAGGTGTGTGAACCTGTTCCGAGAACAGTGTTCTTGATCGTGTTCCCGCCGTTCGAACAAGAAACCCGTGTCAACAACAGGCTGCCCGAACTCGACCTTATAGAGCTATATTGCCCGTATTAGTTCATGACCTAGTTCCATCTCTTGTGGGTTTTTGTTCACAGTAACATTTTCTATATAAAAAAAGCTCTGAGCAAATTTCCAAATACTGAACAAAACATGAAGAATTCAAAAAACGAAACCATGAAAACTGGACTACTTTTTCTCCCTGTGCTGTTTAATGCAAAACAATACCTGACCCAAACTAATCATAATTATAGAGTAAAAAAAACCATCCATTCATACGACCACTTCACAAAATGTTGACCCATTACCTCAACTAGACAGTGTATGTCAAAAGTATTTCAAATACCTTTTTGATTTTTTTTTGTAGCTTTATGGCTACAAGAAAGATTATGCATACTCTCACCATTGCATAATCAGAACCCTTTTATATAATTACAAAAGAATTAAATGGCAAAGATCTAAACCCTGACAGTGAGACCAAGTTTCACATTTGTTAAAATCACAATACAAACATTGCAAAAAATGCATGGACTGCCGACATAATTTGTGTATGACCGATAAGCTACCGTATAAAGATTATCACATGTACTTTTGGCAATAAATACACAGACCATCATTAATGTACAATGCTACATAAAATGGGCGCTAACAGCTCAGCAAAGACATTGAAAACTGCTCTCGCTCAAATGAAAATTTCAGATCTTCACTGTTAAGAGGCATGAGGAAAATATGCATACAGCCTACCTAAAGCATTGTAGTTACATATATAGACCTTCGAAGAAGCCTATCGAGGGAAATTCAGTCCTTTTTTTTGAATAATTAAATTCAAACAAGAGAGTTTAAACCCTGTTTTGTGCATGTGACCCCAAGCTGGAGAGTCTGTGGCCAGGCCTGGGATCATCAATAGCTGCTTTGTAAATATCCTTCACAAACAAAAAGGTTTGTTGTAGTAACAACATGGGATCAGTAAAAAAGCAACGAGGTACTCTATTCATGGTTGGTTCCCAGATTTTTTTGGTGAGAGAATTTGCTACCGGCAGAGCTTTGCTTACCATTAGAAACTTCCTTAATGCAGGCTTCACATCAGAAGTCAAATCAGCCTTTGCCTCGAGACAAGTGATTAATTCTATCTCTCTCAAACTATGATGAATTGTTTTTAATACTGCTCTGTGGGGGGGTTCGGGTTTCTAGAGCAATAACCAAATCTGCCTGGTATCCTATGCACAAAATAGATCATGGGTATCAGGCAAAATCAATTGGTATTTCACTAAAAGGTCAATGATAGAAACCTGACCAGCAGTTCTCAAAGGTTCCTATATGCTTCTAAAAGTAATGACGCCAAAAAAACTCAAAACAATTCAGAAAGACAAGGAACTTTTGAAGAACAAATATTTCTCAACACGTTTTGCTACAAAATTACAAATGTCAATGTACCCATTTAACGGGTGCAAAAAGAACACTCAGTGAAGACAACAAAGCGCTCTTCATTGACATTGATATTCAATCTCCCAAGAGTTGCGATAAAATCCTGATTGTCAGCAACATGATGCAAGAGTAGAAGTCGCACATCAGATGCCGTAAGTACACATGTGGTGTGGGGCACACGACCAACTTCTGAACACTGTCAGCACAACCTTGTAGCATCTGCATTATAGAGGAACATATGTAACCACAGATGCATGGTAAAGTTGCATTCTAGTGTCCTCTAAAACCATTTTTCAATTCTCCCATTGAAAGTAGTCCCTTTGTAAAGACTTTTAATCATCTCAGTCCTCCTCTCTCCCCTTTTGTTTGCCACTCTCTCAATCATCCAGCACAACCAGATCGTCGTCTTCGTCCTCCACGTTAGCGGGCTGCGCCATCTTGGCTTTCTTGGCTGGCATGGGGGGTGCTGTGATCGTGGAGTTGCCCTCATCGGCCGACAGTTTCCTCTTCTTGCCGGCAGGCTGAGCCATCTCAACGGCCGAGGCCTGCTCTAATTCCTCTTCCTCATCGACCATGACCAACTCGTCATCTTCATCGTCTCCATCTTAAAAAAAATCACCAAAGTCCAAAGTTATGTCTACGCATCAATATACCAAGATATTTCTGGAGAGTTGTCTCTCCGGCGGTGTATCAAGTGGTACCCATTTTTAGAAAAGAAATGTTTAAACTTTATTTATGCTTAAAATTGAAAGTGCCAGCCTTTTAGAAATGGTACTACCAACTTTTTGTTAAGGTATGATTCTACTACAGAAAAAAAAATCCATTTCGCTGCCTTGGATAACTGGTCCACCTCTGCTCCACCTAAAACTCTATGTCGTTATATCATGCATGAAATGCGGCTCAGGGTGCCCCAGTGTCTATGACCCAAGCACCTCCACACATCTTGAGATTTCCTGAGAGTCTAAAAACACCACAAAAACCACAGAGGGGGGTGGTTCCCTGTCAACAGCTTTCATCCGACAAAGCCTTGCCAAATGTTCCAAAATGCTGCGCCAAATGCCCCTCCCTTGAATGCCCACCACCACAATTTGACCAGTTCAGCCATGTGGCAATTTCTTGCTCCAAGTTCATTTTTCTTAAGTACTGTGATAAGAATTACAAGTCTTGAATCCGGAGAGAATGAAGAAAGGCTTGTCTTTCAAGCAAGGAATAGGAACAGGCCTTTGTCAGGTAATCCCGGCTGAAAATAACCAGTGTTGCTGTCGAGACCATCACAAAATCATGCATAAGACCAGCCAAAAGTAACTGTGAGAACAACGACAAAGGAATGCTTTTGTTGCAGTTCATTTGAACAGCTTGTGATTTGAATTCAGATTGGAGGTCTTGTGCTGGTCTTGTGCTGGTCTTGTGTGGTCTTGAGAAGGTCTTAAGTGGTCTCAACTAAAACTCTGAAAATAACGTATTTAGTTTCACATCTGGACTTGTTGGCGACATAGCCACCATTACAGACATCCCTAGACGGTGCAGAGAGAGGTGCAAGATGTGTGGAATAGTGCAACCTCCCCCGTTATAATCCCAATTTTCTCGATGAATACTGAAAATCTTTTCAGTTGCATCTTGAGTGTTGGCATTTGAGAGAAGGTGAGTGCTTCAGCTCATGGTGCAGGCGTAGCATAGGTGTTTGGTAGTTGAACTGAATGAATGCTGACAACAGGAACTTTAAGAGTACAAGTGAATTCACACTGGCTTCGCCTGGACATTTCAGCCAGGTAGGTGGGGAAGGGGCAAGATGTCACCTGTAGCAGCCTAATGCTGTCGTTCCAATGTCGCCGAAACAATGGACAATCAACTCTGTACCTGGCGCAGGCCCAGCCTGACTATTGGTGGTGCTACTGGTGATAGAAGTCTGGATACCATTCGCGCTGGTCCCCGGCTGAGCATCGTCACCGGTTCCAGAAAGTTGGTTCTCACCATCCGGCAAGGGTTGGGGCTCGGAGGCTGCTGACCTGTCCACCACTTCGAACTCTTTGTCATCTTTAAGGGTGTCACTGTGGTGAGATCCATTTATAATGCATCAAAGACAAGGTCACACTGTGGTGAACAATATTCATTTTCAGACAAGGCGCACTGCACATTGGGGCTTGTTTTTTTTTTCAAAGTTTGGCTTCATCCATCAATATGTAAACTCTTCATGTTCAGGCTAGATTCAAACATTCCTTGCTATGGTATATTTTGCATAGAGTTTCATGTTAATGTAGTTTAACATCAACCCTCACTGAGACGGAAACTACCGTCAAGTGCAAAGTGGATTTGTTTAGGTTATTCGTAGCTCCTCGTGTAGTGTATGGCAATTATTGACCAGTGAAGAATTCAGGGCTGTTAGTTTAGAACACAAATATCTTGGCACTGACCAGTGAGTTATATTCAGCGTCAGCTGGTAATTCTGCAGGAAGTCATCGGCCTTGAGCTGAACACCACTCCTCATGAAGGTGCTGAGCACCTTAAAGTTGTTCTCTGAGGAATTAAACGAAAGAAAAAAAAAAACATATGTGAGAATGAACATGCACACCTGTTATCGTAGGAAAGGTATTAATCAAGACTATGTAAAGATGCCTAGGGCAGCCACCAATTGATCCACATCTGCTCACAGAGCAACTACCAGAGATCAAAAGTGCCGATTTCAGTAAGGGAGGAAAACCGAAGAACTCGGAGAAAACCCCGGTGGTGTAAAGATACACCAACAAACAACCGTGTTCATATGTCGCTCAGGGTGCCAATTTAACCCGGGACCGGCAAGTGCTTCGCACACTAGCCACACAACATAGAATTTGCAAAACTGCATTACTAACATGCATCACTGTATGGACACTACGCACAACTGCTCTCTTCATGCGGAGGCTGTTAGATATAAAGGATATCACCACAATGGTATGGCATTGTGTAGTCAGGAGAAATGATAAAGATAATGGGAGTACGATGGGTTCATGCTTAGGTGAATTCCTCTCGTCTGTACACACTATTGGTTTGGGTATATTAACCCCTTGACGCCGGGACTTTTTTCTGAAAGCTGACTCCCAGAATTCCAGCCTCGTTTGGCCACAAAGATCACCTGCCAAGCCGCAAATTCTCGGTGTGTGGCCCTGTGTGCTCTGCACGCTTTGATTTATACAGTGAAAAGGCTCATTGTTCGGTGG